AGAAGTAGTAAGTTTAATATCCCCCCCTCCTATTGTATATCAAATCTTTGTTTTTGCTAACTTTATATCTCTCTAGGTACTATCCAATCAACACCCCTAGTCTTCTAGAAGGCTTATAAGGTAGAGTATCCTATCTTAGCAAGCCTTGCCCGAGATATCCTTATAACTCTAGCTAGCGGCTCTAGGGTAGAGAGACTTTTTAACTCTGCTCGGGATATATACCACTATCGCCGGGGCTTATTAAGACCATAGACTATTTAGGACCTAATAATATTCATATATACAACTAGATTTAATATATAGTCTAAGTAGCTTGCGCTAGTAGATAAGTTCCTCTCTACCTAAGAGAAGCATTCGAAGAAGGAGTAGGATAATGCTAAGCAAGAGGATAAAGAGTTTGATCCTATTAGCGATAACGAGGAAGATCTTACAATAGAAACTTCTATAGAAGTATCTATTAAGTAGCCTAGCCTACGAGCGCTAGGGAAGAGAAGGGCTATTAATAATGATAGGATCCCTCTACCTAATTTTGATATTTAGAGGCGTTCGTTATCTGAGGATGTCAGGGTTATAGGATCATGTGATAAGAGGAAAGGAAGTAATAAAGAAGAGAGTAAGAAGAATAAAGTGAGAGAGAAGAGTATAGTAATTTATTTCAGTCGGGGTATCACTCTCTATTTATGTTATTTCCCCTAGGTGGCAAATGCTCTTGCCACCTAGTTGATTTATCAGCATTGGTAATTTGATTTATCAGCAGATGCTTCTAGTTCTTTCTATTAGCTTCTATTGCCGATAGTATCCGAAGGTATTCGGTTATAGCCGAGATCTCGGTTCTTATTGGTTCGGGATCTTATCTTATAGATAAGATCCACTATATTATAATTGGTCTTATAGGAAAAAGTGGCTTTTTCCTACCCTCCATTATAAAAAGGGTTCTTTTATAGTCGTATAGACTTCTTATATTGATACGTTAGGGCGTATTCTAAAGAGACTAAGATATAATACGGATTTTGTATATAATTAATAGATATAAAGGACAATTGATCCTTTCAATATAAATCATGCATGTAAGTAATTTCTAGAAAAGTACTCAAAATTTCTGGAAAGAATACGTTTAGGCTATATATAACAAAGTATGACAGTAAAATACTAAAAAATACCAATAGATTCTTCATAAATTATGTAAATCACGGGGTTCTACATATTTGTCCCGTTTGTAGGACCGCAAGACCGGACCGGACCGCAGTGGTGCGGTCCTATAAAAGTTGGGACCGCCCAGCGGTCCTGATAGTAAGGACCAAGCCCTGCATGGTCCGGTCCGGTCCGCGGTCTGGTCCGGTCCCTTGCGGTCCTTGCCGAGGTCTAACCTGGTTGTCCTCAAAGATGGATGAGGGATAATTATCCGAGAATTGGGATACGTGGCTCTGTGATATATTGATGAATAATTAATAGATAGTGGGTAGTGTGGCTTTAGAGTGATGGTCAAGATATACTATTATCTTTTATCTAGGCAAAAGAATCCTGAGGGGTATTCATATTCAAGAAAATGATAGATAGATGATTTCAGATAGAATAGACTAGATTATAGACCGTAATTGGCTGATAAGACCCACTCTACTTAGATCTGTGCGGTCTTAGACCGCGGGGACCGCATAAAGACCGCAAGGACCGCCAAAAGACCACGAAGACCGTTACTTTAGTTTGATTCTGAGACAGGGTCGCAAAAAGCATACCTCAATTCGCTGCCCCAGAGAAGCAATCGCGACTGCAATCACACAAATATACAGAAGTGTGATTGTCAAGTCAGCGTCCATTTTGACGGTGAAGGTAGGGCAGAAAGAAACGGAATGTTGCAGTAGAGTCCCGGAGAAAGAGACAAAAATGTGTAGTTGAGCGAACAGAAGATAACGACGACATTGACCAGAAATATAAGAGAGGTCCGGAAGTTTTAATTATCAAGGGCACCAATATGATTCAATAGTTACGGATAGCCTAAAGGATAGGACTTTGGGACCGTTGCCCAATTAGTCTTAGTCTCACAAGAACGTACCATAATGAGAGTGGAGTGCCCGTGGACTCAGCCATTGTAATTTTATAGACCCTTTTACTTGAGTTCCCCGCTTGGTCCCATAGTTCGTCGCATCAGCACATCCTTTGCGCAATAAATTAGTACGTCGTATTCTTTCTCTGACGATTATGATCTCTTTGACCGCTTCGTGGTTAAAGTGGTTTTCATTAATTCTAATGCCATTAGGCTTATTGTGACTTGGTTCCCAATGACGTAAAACTGATCAACGGAGCGGTTTATTTTAATTTCCCATAAAGATCTTAAGCCCAACGTGTACTTACCTTCCATTTGATGAATTTAGTAGTCTGTGTCTCTGCGACTCCCCATTGTGCTTGCATCCTCTGGTATGAAATCATTTCCATTAGAGTAGAAAATGAGCTCCTATAAGGTAATCATTTGTGGAGACAAGTCTCTGACTATTTGTCCTTGGGGTGCTACCCGCTGACGGCAGACTAGGGAGTAAAGCTTACGATAGATACATCTACTTTCGTCTCACAATTCTATTTGTTGCTATATTTTAGCGGTACGGAATCCAAGGAGCAAAAGACGTACCTGTCTCTACCAGAATGCATGGAAAATGATAGGTAATTCAAAGGAAGGAGCTTGCATCCTTTCAGATTACTTCTTTTACTTTATTCTGAAATTGACATGGAATTGAGATCTCATAATGTAGCTGAGACAAAAAAGTTGAGGTCCTCCACAGGGCTACGCTAATCCTAAGATTTTCAGTGGCTATTTGCACCTTCCACCTTTGAATCTATTGTTTCTCAACACCATTTCCCCTGGTATCTATTGACAAACGTTTCTCTTAAAAACCAGTAATGCCATGTTTTATAATGTTTCCCTTCTTATGTTCTCCTGTGATTGTCGTCTTTTCCCTCCTCACCGTTCCCATTTTGGGCTCGGACGAATCCTCTTAATTTGCATGCTATTAGGGTGCGATAGATGAATCACAACTGGTGTGGCTTTGATTCATCCTTCGAGTGGTTGTGAGGGCCCCACTGGCATCTGTGACCATCAAGACCAATGAAATCCGAGTAAGTAGAACCACAGACGACAGGCCTCTACGCAACAATGCAATCCACTTATTACAGTAACGGTCCACAAGTACATGTTGTTTCAACTTTATGAGTATTAAGCACAAGAAATGTTTCTTTTGGAATGTTTGTGTAATAGCCCACTCAGCCTTGTCGCACAGTCGCTACACGGTGACACGGACGTGCGCTTTGCCTTTTAAATTGGCTTTTGTATCCACTGCGAGCTTAGAATGTGAGAAATGCGCCAGCATCATATCCATGACTAAACAAAAAGAATGCAGATGTCTGTACATCTGCCTAATAGTATGAATTGAGTCTTGCTTGGGATGACGAGGCAAGCAACTTTTACCCTATGAAAAAAAGGGGAGTCATCCCACCCGACAGTGACTCCAGGAGCAGGATTCTGCAGAATGTCTTTCGCCTTGCCTTTTTGCCATGGGGCCGGGAACTTGTTATTTCGTGAGAAGGGCCGGTCAAGAGAGTAAGTGTTCCATTACAGTAGCTAGGAAGGCACGGCGATGCCGTACTTCTTGTAGTTGAAGTGCTCCAGATTCGGTATAGTTTCAGCCTAGCCGTCATCAATCTCTCCTAGCTGCCTGTCGTTTCCGACCTCAGTTATTCGCGTCCTCCCAGCCAGCACCTCCTTCTGCCTCGTTTGATACTCGGCCGCCACATCTGGATGTGGTACCCAAACGACCCTTATCCTAGCCCGTCTTCCAGCCTCCACCCTAGCCACGCTATCCTCGAAAACCAGATATTCTTTCGGCAGGATGGCCCTCTCGCCAGAATCTGCGGCTAAGTTCAAAGACTACAACGCCGCTAAATATATGCTAGGGGCGGGCTTTCCTCGACCTAGTAGCACTCGTGGGTCATCACCTAGGATCCTCTTCTCGGGCTAGAAAAAACTAAGAAGTCGTTTAGTTTCTGATCCTAAAGCTTTCAATTCATAGCTTTGGCGCTTGGTGCTGGATACCAATGCCAGCTCAATTTTGTCACCAAAAGAAGCACTATGTGCACGACTAAGGTTCGACAATAGCTTTTCCGCGCCAGGAAGTGGCTTGCAATCTAGAAAATGCTTTCGCATTTGTTCAGTCGATTCATGAGCAAATTGCTCGCGGGAAATGGGTAACTTGGCCCAGTTGTGGAACACGTCACCATTTGTCGAGTCTGGGACACCCATGAGCTGGACTCTAATCGACGGAGTAAAGGCAGGCCTTCCATATTTTTTATGGAGTTGGTTCATGGACAGAGTAATTAAGTCTTCGGTGTTGATAAGGAGTCCGTCCATGTCGAAAATACAAGCGCGGATTCCGGGGAAGCTGGCGACAGCTTGTCAGCCTTCGATTCGACAGTACTAATTCATCGACTGGTGCTCATGTCAAAGCAATATGCAGTCCGTGCTGGAGGGCCCTTACTCTGCTTCAAGGGGAGCCATAAGTAAATTCTACCCGAATCAACGGCACAAGGAACGATATGAGGATGGTAAGCTGCGAGTTGAAAATTCCTTCCTTAAATTTCCACTTGAAAGTATTGGAAAGCCAGGCACGTTGAAACCCCTGATCAATTTAGGCTACCACTTCCGGTGCAATATGCCGCCACATAGCTGTCAAGACATACTCCCAAATGCAAATGTGCTGTCTTCGACGTAATATAATAAAATAAGAAGGGAAACAAGGCAGGCGATAGACGCCTAAGCACGGTTCCTGGGTAGTATAGTTGCAAGTGCAGTTGCATGCTGTATATGTAGACCTTATCAATTTGGTCCTATCGAAAGGCCTCGGACAAAATGAAGCTACCTAGTATAGAGCGGCTTTATATACCAAGTCATGCCAACACCAGCCACCAATCCGCACGTGGTTGCGAGGGTAAAACAAATGTTGACTGAAAGTTGGCCTTTAGCAGCTGTCTGTGTGGCCGTCGCCTCCGTTCTTGCACTGGTATCCGCACTTCTGGATAACCTTGATCTCGCCATTGGAGCCTCCAAGGCAAGCAAACAAGGCGTTGTCTCTGTTCACGCCAGGGAATGAGGACTGAGCGTCTGCAACCGCATTCCGGATCTGGGTGTCATAGTTGCCTTGATATCAATTTAGTATTTTGCTTTGTCGTAACTCAAATTATATAATTGGCTTTACTAACCTCGGGTCAGAAGAGCTGAGGAACAGTATTCGAACTGGGTTTGGCAGTTCTTAGCCGCACCAAGAGAGGCAAAGGCAGCCACGGAGGCAATGGAGAGGATGTTCAGCTTAACCATTTTGTTGATGGAAGAGAGTGATGTTTGGAGGTACTAGATGATTGAGATGATGGGAAAGTGATGGTGGGAAGAATTAGAGGGGATGGGAAAGGGTCTTTATAGCCCGCATCAAGTCTCGATAAATCGCGATGATCGTAAGCTACAATATTACTGCGGGGCTAGAACTGGATGCTACACTATTGCGGCGAGGCAAATATTTCTACCCTCTAGTCCCCGTGAAAGCTATGCCGACTGATGCTAGTGAAGACATCGTGTGGGCTCCGTAGAAGTGGTGAGCTGGTTGCTTTCCCCCGATTCCGACCTTGAAACTGTAGTTTGTTTCTACGTGGCAGTCTCATTATCCCGAATGTCCATTCCGACTACCTTGATGACAGGGAAACGAAACCCAGTTTACGAAAGGATCAAGAGTACAGTAGTGTGTCCCCCAACTCCACTTTCTGGCCCCCGTATAGAAATCAGGGATTGAGCTGTTGATCCCCAAAGATGGGACTCAACGTCGTATTTCCGTAAGCGAATGCTCGCGGCTTGAATCTTTCGACTCCCATGGTCCTCCGGTGTAACCTCACGGTACATAACTTATGCGTCCACGCCTCTGCAAACGTGAGGAGATTGAACATAAGCATGGCAGTCGGATCAACTGATGATATAGAAATCGGAAGTTCAGTGGGCTAGAGGACAGAAGGTCGATCTCACTGAAGACCAGTGCAATGGAAATTAGCGTTCCTGGACTGTTTTCATCTAAAGCAATTCCAGAGAGAACCCGTCAAGACCCTCTTTTGGCCCCTATCCAAGAACAGTTGACCCACTTGCATTGTTAGAACGACCTTAGCTTACTGAAATTTGATTTCAAATTCTGACCGAGGTTATCCCGAAAAGAGGTCCGCAATGAACGACTAAAAATTCCTCTCTCAAATTACGTCTATTACATTCCTGGAAGTGACCGTACTTGATCCAACTTGATCCAATTCCAGGAGAACCGAAGCCAATCCATTTTTCATGAGACGCTTCAATGCTCTATGACTTGTCGTTGGACGTGGGGTTCCACATGGTCGACATAGAAGCTCCAAAGTTGGATATGTGATTCCCAACCTTTGTTGACTGTTCAGCTAGAACCGTCGCTTCATATACTTCAAGTGGTAGGCTAGCAGTACTTAGCGTGTATAGAGTTACATTGGCTATCACTAAAGCTATATCACTCGAGAGTTTATGTCGATTGACTATTGTACATCGCCCAAGTCTACTGTCATTAATGGGGAAGTGCCTTGTCTTTTCGTGTATAAGTCGATGAATACCATAGAGCCTGCGGAATAACTCAGGCAAATACCTAGATGGGCTGGCTGCCCACCGTCTTGATTCATGATGGTCCGTCGCAGGAGCCATATGTGCGTTTCATTAGGCGGTACGTTCACAACAGGGAGGCAGGGAAAAAAGTACCAACGCGGCTACTATACAGCACATGTAATTGTGGCAGCCTACAAATCGGTGTGGAGTTGATTTTGCCACTAGACCAAGATATGAACCAGTGTCCAATTTAGTGAGTGGTGGCTTTTTAACCAACTTTGCCGAGGTGTTAGGGTAAATGAATTCACAAACATATGGTATTATCTATGTGGCCGATCGGTCACATTAGACACTGATCTATTGTTACGCAGCCAGCGATAACTAGTCCAAGGGCAAGTGCCTAGGGTTGAGTCGGTGTAGTTGGGGGGTTACGGTTCAAGGAACAGGGTCGGAAACCAAATAAGATTGGGCCAAGCTTCCTTGACCATGGCCCACTGTCCTAGGATGACTTGAGGCCAGATGCCAGAGGCCATGATCCATCGGGATCAATCGCCCCTCCACTAGCGGCAAAGCCATTAGAGTATTACTTCCCTCGGAGCGAGGATCCCTCCTTGATTAGGGTATCGATCGTTCGGTCCTGTTCCTAAACACCGCTGCTAGGGATTTTCATCGGATACCGGGTCGTTCCGGGCCCGCGATGTTACGGCCCCTGCAGCCGCAACTAACCATGGCCGAGAGCCAACCAATCTACTTGCCAGCAAGTCACGTGCAGCTCCTAACACCCAGGCATCCCCAAGGCATCAGGGAAAAGAGAAACCAGTTGTGATCAGTGGGTAGTGAGCAAGAGCATGACTAACCCAAAGGGGACCTGATCCCGTGCTCCCAGGTGTATCTACAAGTCAGGACAGGTTGCAAAAGGAAGAATGCGTCTCCTAGTTTTCAATTCCCTTTGAGCTCTGCTCGGTATAATAACATAAGGAGTGACAGGGCTTGATAGGCAACACTCAAGAATAAAACATACGTTCAAATCATGGGATAAACCGGCATTTTTCAACTTGATGAATGCATGCATTTTCAAACCAAGAAAGAAAAGAGAAAAAGACCAGACCTGGTCCCAAAGCCAACGCGATTTACTCTATACTACTTCGAGAATGGGTCCGCCACTAGGGGTAGTAGGAATATCAGAGAGGAGAGCCCCTAGAGGTGGTAGTGAAGAAGAGGGTGTGTCTATGTCTCTATCCTGCTAGTTGGAAGTCTTACATATCACAAAAGCCTGAGTCATCCGATACACCGCTAATTCATGAATCATGCAGCTTATAAGCAATTCCCCCACTACAGTACTTGAAATTCTCCACCAATCCTTCATGACCCAAATTTCACTTCCACCTATCAGAAAAATACTTTGAACTTACCGATCTCTCATAATGGGCAGAAACAAAGTCCGCCTGGAAGATCTCCCGTTGGAAAAAAGACTTAGAGTCACTTTGTACAATATAGATGACTGCAATGCCGCAATTCGCGGCCAAAATATTCCTGGTGCTCTCGGACTAAAAGTCCAACGCTTCGCTGTTATCCGTGGCATTCGACACCACGATGGTTTCGCCAACGAGTTACGCGGCGTCGCACCGGAGTTCACTCGTGCACTCAACGCGCGTGCAATTATGAGCGGAGTGATCCCGGAGATCAACGACTCCCCTGAGATACCCTATTGCATCTGGTATCCGCAACCTCCTTCCCAGGAGACCCTTCGCAATTTGGTGAAGCGTTATCCCAACATGATTTATCACGCTGCTCGCTCCTGTGCCGTGGCGGGATATTTCGATCTTTACTCGGAGCTTCAGGTTCTTCCCGAGGTTCATGTTGCTGCCGAGGCTCGCGACGCTAGCCTCGCAAGGAAGAACAAAGGCAGCGAGGCAATATACGAGCAAATAATGTCGAGTCAGTTGAAATTTGAATTAATGAATGATTATGATCGATCTGTCAATCTTGAAAACCCTCGTCCGGCACATCTGAATGGAGATACGGCGGTCTTTTCCGATCTCACTGCACGGATGCTTCATGCAGGAGTGGATAACAGCAGTAAGCGTTCTGTCAATCTTGTTGATTATATCGAGTGGGATTCGAAAGAGTACAATACGTATAACCACTTCAACATCACTGAGGACATAGGAATCGACGATCATAGTTGCGGTGCGCCGGAGCCTTTGGCCAGCTTTTGGCCACTTCTATATTTGCCTCTACCGTCAGACCTTCCACCAGTTAATAAAGACAACCTGATTCTATCGGCTGCATATGGAGGGGACGTGGATCGATATATACGCCTACGACGCCCACAGATGATCGAACAAGAATTCCACGCTATCATTTGGGGGATATACAATCACCCCCTTTGGGCGCGATGGTGGAGCACACAGGTGCCGGAGGTCCCCGATAAAAGTGAGGACGTATCCCTAAGGCGCGCAATCAATACTCGACGCATCATCAGTGACGATATTACTTCTATCACACTAAGTACCCCGGAATCGCTGGTACCTCGCAGAATATGGTGGCCTAGTGTTGCTTCTCCAGTAACCTACGTGCGTCTCGCGCAGAAAAGGCCTGATATGCTCGAGTCTTGTCTACGGGCATGTATTGTCGCTGATTACGAAGATGCGTGGGATGAAATTCTGATTGGGTCATTCGATAGCCCGAATGATTCCAAAGTTACTCGACTTTCCGAAGTCGTCAGATCGCAGATCTATGCCGAGGCTAAAGATTCATGCAATCCGCACTACCTCGACGACATAAATTCGCTTGGAGCAGCCAGGGTGGAGAAGCTTGAAGCCGATATATACTACTTGGATGACATACGTACTGCGAGATGGATTTATTCGCCACGCTCGACTGCCCAGAGAGTTGTAATCAAAAACAAGCCCTTCGCGCTGACCACGGGGGGAGGGGCTCGAATGGAATTCCGAGAGAGCCGAGCAACCTGGGATTCTCAATTTTTGGCATAGATGCAATTGGCTTGGATAATAAGATATGGGAGCAGGAAAGTTTCATTGAGGTCGAAGATATGTACAACATCCTCGATGCCAGAGACCTTTCAACATAGTACATGAAATATGGCAACGGCTTCAGCCAACCCCTCCTAATAGCTTATCATTATTTTCAAGTCTATTAGGATACACAGGTACACATGTTGCAGGTCGTAAAACCCTTATTCGTTGTGGCATACACCTCCCAACATCCTGATTTTCGCCATCTGGATCTCCCGATATTAGCCGCATGATTATCGTCCTTCGACGTATCATCAGATCCTGATGCTTTGAGTGCCCTATCGCTGTAAGACTTGTAGTAATCATTGACTGACACTGGCGCCCTCTCTCTCGCTGAATTGCATTGATAGCCGACATCAAATCGCAGTCCGGTACCACTTTGCCATTTGGAAATCTTTTGAAGTTGTCATCCCTGACTAAAACTTTGTAAACAGGTCTAGTTCCGTCTACATTTGTTGGGTCATATTTGGTTCGAAGTGCCAGGCTGATTGTCAAGTAACTTTCCGCAGTACGGACCGTGTCAGCCCGCTTTCGAGCAAGGGAAAGCGTCACTGAATGGAGGCTGACTGGCGTCAGGATGCTAAATCTGATAGACTAGAAGACTTATTGTTACTCGCTAGGATGCTCCTTAGAGTAGCCTCCAGTCCAAGAAAAGATGTATAGTATATAGACGATGCTATATTCCTAAAGTCTCTTCAGAATTGACCATTTTGCTCTATAGATGGTCAATCTTATGTAATCTGACCTAGTCTAGGTTACAATTTGTCTCGTTTTAGAAAATCCTTAGCAATAGCTTATTAAATTCCACCTTTCCTTCTTTAGATATTTGAAATATTGACACCAATGCATAGCAGCGATGTGAGTAGGTGGAAGTCGCGAAGCTCCATTTCATCCAGAATAACCTCTAAAGGCTTCTTCGTAGATGTAAATGAGTGTGGGATCGAAAACCGACAGGTTTCAGCACTGATATCAACATCTCATCAGCCTGAGTGAAATACGGTTGATATACAGGGCTAGTGTTAGTGTTACTATGCCTGTACTGATTGTCTGTAACCTATCCAGGGTTCCACAGTCGGAAAACGATTTTTGTGAAACAGTGTTTGGATGTTCTTAGAATGCGTTTTAGATATGCTTTTGGAAAATCTCTCTCTCATCTAAATGTCAAGGAAGACACGGCTTTCTAGTTGAAACAATTGCCCTGAGCCTACTGGGCGGTACGCTAGGACCCAGGCCTGGTCTGAAAAGCCGAGGAATAAGTTCTGATATCAAGTACAATAGATTAGGTCATTCTCCCGAAATTGAACTAACTACTCTTTGACAGGTTAGGTTGAGAATCCTGGACGTAATTCTGGTCAAAACTGAAAGAATTCACCTTTCCTCTAGATATCGCTTGCTAGCAATGGCTCCGCCTGATAGTCCCGATGTATGAGATGATGCTTCGTGACCCGTCGAGTGAGAAGAGGTTGTGGTGGCAGCTAATTCAACACAAAAGCGTCAGCAAAAGTCTGTAACCGGGGTAGCTAAACGAATCATTGACAATGGGGTCACCTACGGCTCAGATGGATTGACGCAGCAGTCGCGCTCATGGTGGACATTGTCACAAGGAGGGTGCTCCCAGACTCGTTGTCATTCTCCCCAACGCAGCCAGATGAAGGACAGCAGGCTCGCTTCCCCTGCCAGATTCGGCAATAATAACCAGCCGCGCAGTAAGTGCCATCAGTGCAGCAATCGCCGCCAACAGGTGCGCAATGATTACCTGGACAGCAACCCCAACCATCTGGACATGAACCCAACTCTGTGTTGCAGCACACACTGCCAGGTGTAGTGCAGTACCCGTTGGTACAGCATATTTTACCGGTAGGACAACAGCCTAATATTTTTGCGCATAGGTAGTAACCTGCGTTGCATGTATAGCTGTTTGAGGCACGACTGATAAGGGGGTTGAATAGACTGCGAGGATGAATAGTAGTAATTGAGTCAGCTAGTTCAAGTGTTGCGTTTAGTCAGCGTCGAGGTTCGTCTTGTGCGATCGTGACCATAGCATGAAGTGCATGAAGTGTCCACAATATGATGGAGAATTGCATTTTTGCAGGTAGGCTTCGGTCGTGAGGTAAGTAGAGACGAACCTTGCTGTTATGTATTGGTTCCGCTCAGCCTCAACATTAATTGAATACCAAACAGTGCTTAGGTCAGGAGACAGGTATTTGCTCAAACCAACTTTTTCATTGGTTCGGGGGGTGAGGCTTGAACTTGAGAAGACTATTTTTTGACCCTGGTCGAGTTAGGAATGATTCCTAGTTGGCTGTCGTGTTATCGGATTGGGTGGGAAACGGAAACAGACCATTGGAGGCCCTTAAGTAGAGATTGGGGGCTTGTGGGCGAGCCGGCAATATATCTGTTCTTTGCTCCATGGACACTTCTTCCATGTCGTTGAAGATTCCCACTTTTTGTCACGGGTAGGAGTCACGGCCAAGGTGTATACAAGTCAAGTCGCATGATTCCATTGCACAAAACTGACAAGAAGACTTTTTTTTTCAGTAAAATATACTGATTAGTGCAAATACTCGGTAATAAGATGCCGTTGCTGTCAGATTTGAAGCTAATTTTGCCCTGGTGGCTTGTTTTCAATTGCCGAAGGCCTATTGCTCAGCCTCCGTGGACCCCTCAAGGTCCGCGAGCCCCGCGCCCATCTATGTTAGCCATGCTGTCCGAGAAATGTTATTTTCGATATGCAATCGATAGGCAGAATCGAAGAGCCGTTACAATTGACGATTTACCGAAAAGCTCCAGCTTGCAACCGTACCGTTTAATTGTCTTTTTTAGACAAATCTATCTCATCATTTTTCCATACTGGAATCAATCTGTAGAGATAAACAGAACCTCAGGCTAGTTAGCCTTTGCAGCGGCGGAAATGAAACTTTTCATGGCGGGTTGTCTTAGCCAGGCCCATTGCTTTTACCGATTCCACAATGAGTTATCTCTCAAAGAGATATCTGGACCCTGACCCGGCGCTGAAATGCAGCCGCTGGCTAAAAGGGAAAGGGCCGACGCGGGAAGGGTACTAACACTGCGGTCTGAGTCCCGTTCGCGTGGCAATGGGACGCAGTACCTAGAGTTTGATTACTTGCCGATTGTCGAGGCTCTAAGATATTTCGATGGATTTCTGGTGGCGGGAATGAGACAAACAGAGTTATTATGTACGTTTGAAAGCACCTAAAGGAAATAAATCTAATCGAATGTGATAGAAACTTATATCAATAAAAGAGTCCAGTAAGGTGGAATAAGCTTTTGCGAGATCAGACCTCATGAAGCTAGACCGGGAAAGCAGAAATCTGCGAGGACGCTCGTATTCGGTCTACCCACTTGGAAGCGAAGCTCACCTGGGTAAACAGATCTGCACACAAGGGGCCACTACAGCTCCACAGTTTCACTTCAACACTCAACCGTAGGTCTATGCATTTGCACCACAGAACATAAGATAATGTTCAATATGCTCTAATGTCACTCCGTTGTATTCCAAGTCTTGCCTTCAAAAGCTCTCCCTCGCCCTCGCCTCACACGCAAAGAAATGAACGTATGCATTAGAACATGGCGGGACAGAAAGCTTCTGGTAACCATCTATCGACGATATTTGTGTCTGCTTTACCAGAGTTCTATCCCGCCAGTAACTATGGATGCAACTGAGTCCGTGCAAGCTCAAGCGATGTTTTCCAACCCATCCAAGCCTTTGAGGTCAAGCTCCCTTCGCATGCTGCAAATTACGACAAATTTCAGAGGGGGATCGAGCCATGTTTGCGATCAATACAGCAGTGGATTGCAATCTTGAACCGGGTCGTGCTGTTCCCAAAGACAAATGCGAATGCTTCAGAATTTATCTGGGGCTGTTTGCGATACCTTTTCTCGGTAACTATGGCATGAACCCAGTCCTGAATATTATCATAACCTGATAATGTTCAGATAGCAGTTAAACCCAAGGCTTACTTGAACGCGGTGGCAGAGATGTTCAGTACAGTGGGTGAGATCTGTAAAGAGCTTTTTGGCCCGGGTGACTCAACAGGTTGAGCTCGCAACAGTCCGCGACTGTTTCAAATGACATGATCTTCCTCTGCGCTCAAGTAATTCGGTGCCGTGGAAATGCCGTAGGTGACTGTTGGAGCTGCTCGCTGTTCCAAACGTCCTGATGGGCCGATGCGAGTTTTTGTTACGAGGCTACACATTGAGTTCGTCGAATTACTGGACATATTTTGCAGTGAATCAAACAGCATTGAGCGGCTTGAGTATGATTATGTCGAGCAATGGGATTTGAGTACATGGTGTCCATGGTGCCCAAACAGCTTGTCACATCTTTTCATACTTGAGCTTCCTGGCCAACCAGCAGCCAATCGTAAAACCGGCAATGGAACCCTGCTCATCTCGTCGGAAGACCACGGTCCAATCTCCTGGAGCGGGAGCATCAAGACCACGAGGACAAGTCAAAACCCAGACATCGTCTCCGAGATACCGCATGGGTGTCGCATGCCCTGTGCCCAGATACCCGGTGAATACACCATAAAACACGCCTGCTTCACCAAAGCACTGGAACGTCGAATTGATCTCGTCGCAGCGATATGCACCCCGCATAGAGTCCTCCTTGAGTACAGACTCCTTGGGAGTAATACGTCGAGCAGCCAATCTGCGATTGTCGCCGACACGATGGATACTCAACAGGTCCCCATCTATTGTTGCGGTCATGGACCAGGCTTTACCGGAGGCCGGAGAGTCGAGTCTAAGTGGCTCTGGGGAGCCGGCGTAGCTGACAGATACCTCACCTTGCTTCTCAGCTTTGGTAACGACAATGGACAACTGGGTATCCTCGTCAAGGAAAGTACCAAACCATTCGGCAGCTGGCTGCACAAGTGTCTCCTCGGGCTTAGGGAGCTTCAAAAGAGCTCGGAAGATATCACCGGTGGGCTCGCTTGCATCTGCGTCGTTGTTGAACAGGACAACGACAGAGAGTCTTTGCACGGGCGCATGGCGCCGGTGCAGTCGATATCCTCGCAGTGCACCACCGTGGCCAATTGTATGCACGCCATTACTAACGACGTGGCTCAATCCATACTTATAACGTGCGGGGGTGCCATCCTTGAACGTGGGCGATGCAATGACTTCGTTGTACCAGCTGCTTGGATCGGAAGAGCACCGATCAAGGTATTTCTCGTAGGCGATCATGTCAGTGAGCGATGCGACTAACCCCGCATCACCAGCCCATTCAATGCGATTAGCTGCTGGAACGTATCCGTGTCCCTCATCTCCTTCGTATCCTACGCAGGGAGGAGGGTGTTTGGCGGTATTCGGGCACAGGAAAGCAGTGGTCATGCCAGCGGGGCGGAGAACACGCTCTTCAAGCAGCTTGCCAAGAGATTCGCCCGTCGCACGTTCAATTACTTGAGCAACGATGTGAAAATTGAGGTTGCAATAAGAAGTCTCCATTCCCGGCTCAAATTGGAACGATTTGGTCAGGGCGAGCATCGGTGGACAATCCCTCTCAATCAAGAACTCATCATCGGGCTTCGCACCCATTAGAGTGGTCATAGCCCAGTAGTCGCGCAGGCCAGATTGCATGGCGCATAGCTGTTCAATTGTCACGCCGCTGTCTTTTAGCTCTGGACTTAGTATGTCTCTCAGATGAGCTGAAAGCTGCTGCTGAACATCGCCGTGAGCAGCCAAGACTGGAGGGGGGTTTCGCTCCAAGTCAATCAACAGAGCGCAGAAAAATTGCTTGCTTATTGAACAAATGGGGAAGCGGTGCTCGTCTGTGAGGGTAGTCAATGTGTCCAGGTCAGCAAAGCCCCAGACCCGCTGGCCGATGACTTCGCCGTCTTTGACGACGGCCACCGCACCACCTGGGCCTCGAAAGCGACGAGCGACGCCGTTCAAGACGTCTTGAACATGTTCTTTGGTGATCTCCATGGTTTTGAGGTTGATGTAAGACGGAAGGTTGCGGTGTTTACCCCACTTTCAGTTAACGTTATCGGGACTTTTGATAACAGACAATTATATCTCGTCCGGGATTTCTACCATATTCTGGCTAGGACTGAGATATTTCGAGACTCAATACATTCTCCTGGCTGGCCAGACTCAAAAGTACCGCCAAACAAATCACGCACGTCCCACAATCCCACTTGGGGTGCAGCGATGGGAAAAGAATAGCCATTAAGTCCATATTCCCCGCTGATCATAAGTAATTCATTCTCTCATCAAAGAGATTGGCTTCAAAAAAGATAGGGATATATGTAGAGCTAACATGCTTTGCTCCATCGGCTATACTCAGGGGCTAACATATAGCAAGTGCCGGACTACAGGCAGTCTTGGGCTAAGGAAATATATGCGCCTGCACCATGTTGCACCATTGATGTAGATTGCAAAGTATAACGGAGACTAATTCGGAGTAACGGATATTGTTTAGCCTCCGCAACCTCAGCTGATGGGCGGAATAGGGTAGAAACCAACTGGGTGCGGAAGGTGAGGCAAGGAGTTATGTACCCTAGCATCAACACCATGATCAGCCAAATTGCAGTATGCTTGAACAACTTGAGCCAATCACTGCTTGACACTGACCGGAATTGGAGGATATCCCACGTCAGAGTGCCAAGAGTGACGGTGGTATCCGAGGCCCCACGCCTCCGGAATGTCAATTGCATTGTCTGCAGGTACATCCGCGGCGAACAAAGTATTCAAATGTTACTATTGACTACAACAATTATCAGATCAATTGACAAACCCGGGTGTCAACATCAAGGCAGAATAAGGGATTTAGATTAACTGTGCTCAATAGTTTCAAGACAGCGGTCCAGATGTGTTCTAAAAAACGCACATGCACCACGGTGATCCCCCTGCCCGAATCTATAAGATCTCAACTCATAAAGGGGTGATCTAATAATAGGCAATATAATTAAGGAGATTTAATAAACCCCTGATGAAGATGTCCCCACTGGTCAGGGTTTCGCTGTGAATTCTGAAATGTTGCCTCCGACCCACCATGTCATAGGGCCAAGGGCACACAGGGTCACCAAATGGAAATGACCGATCCAAGGACGGAGAAAAAGGGAAGCGAAGCGGATGGGAATATCCGGGGGATCGGGCAAATCATCGACTGAAGCCTTGAAGCCCCACTGCTTTTGCATAAAATTAGAACCGGTCAGGTCCGGGCTCAGCCAATCGGTTGGCGCAAATCTGAGTTAAAGTGGGCAGGCAAACGTGTCTCGCCCCACTAGGTCCGCAACTCTGCGCAGTGGCGGATTCTAGACCAAATTTTCATTGTCCAGACTTGAGGGTTCCATCCTCTACTTCTATCCTGTTCTTTCCCGTTTGCATCTTCTCATCTTTTCATCTTCTCACTCCTTCCCCTGGCTACACTCTTTTAATCCAGGCTTTTTTCTTCTTCTCACATCTCCAATTCTTCCATTTGTCCACAACACTCGTTTCACTCTTCAAAATGCGTTCCGCTCAGTTCCTTGCCCTCGCGATGGCCGTCGCTACCTCCGAGGCCGTCTCTCAGGGTTTCAACTACGGTGCCTCCAACGTTGACGGCTCCATCAAGTCCCAGTCCGACTTCGAGACTGAGTTCAACACCGCCAAGAACCTCGTTGGCACCGACAATGCCTTCACCAGTGCCCGTCTCTACACTATGATCCAGGGTGGTACGACCAACGGCCCCATTGAGGCTATTCCCGCTGCCATCAAGGAGAAGACCACCCTTCTTCTCGGTCTCTGGGCCTCCGGTGGTGACATGGCTAACGAGATCGCCGCTCTCAAGTCCGCCATTGACACTTACGGTGAGGAGTTCACCAAGCTCGTCGTCGGTATCTCTGTCGGCAGCGAGGATCTCTACCGTAACTCGCAGACCGGTGTCGAGGCCAACGCTGGTGTCGGTATCGAGCCCTCTACCCTCGTTGACTACATCAACCAGGTCCGCTCCGCCATCTCCGGCACCACCCTGAGCGGTGCTTCCATCGGTCACGTCGACACCTGGAACTCCTGGTCTAACAGCTCCAACGCCGCTGTCATTGAGGCCGTTGACTGGCTCGGCTTCGACGGATACCCCTTCTACGAGAACACCAAGGCCAACTCCATTGATGACGCCAAGTCTCTCTTTGAGACCGGTGTTGCCAAAACCAAGGCCGTCGCCGGCGACAAGGAGGTCTGGATCACCGAGACCGGTTGGCCCGTGACCGGTGACAGCCAGAACTTGGCTGTTGCCAGCGCTGCCAACGCGAAGCAGTACTGGGATGAGGTTGCCTGCCCTCTCTTCGGCAACGTCAACACCTGGTGGTACATCCTCAACGACCAGGGTGCCAGCCCCAGCTTCGGTGTCTCTAGCTCGGGTGACAACACTACCCCTCTGTACGACCTGACCTGCAAGGCCTCCTCTTCCTCCAGCTCTGCCGCTGCCTCTTCCAGCACTGGCTTCGCCGGCGAGAAGTCCGCCTCCGTTTCCTCCGGTGCCGCCACTTCCACTGGCTCCTCCGACTCCGGCTCTGGTGCCTCCGGGTCCAGCTCTGGCTCTGTCTCTGGCTCTTCCTCTGGTTCTTCCGCTGCCTCCGGGTCCAGCTCCGGCTCTGGTTCCGCTGCCAGCTCTGCCATTCCCTCCATGACCTCCATCGTCGGCCGCCCCTCCACCAAGCCTAAGGCTTCCAAGAGCGCCTCCGCCTCCGCTTCCGCCTCTGCTACCGGCTCTGCCTCCACTGGCTCCGGTTCTTCTGGCTCTGGCTCTGGCTCCGGCTCCAGCGGCTCCGGCTCCAGCTCTGGATCTACCGGCTCCGATGCTGCTTCCGGCTCTGGCTCTTCCTCTTCTTCCTCCGCCTCTCCCTCTTCCAGTGCCTACACCGGCTCCGCTGCCCGTGTCACTGGCTCTGCTGCCGGTGCCTTGATTGCTGCTCTGGCTCTTGCCTTCACCTTCTAAGCACTTTAATTTTGTTAGGCGACTCGGAGTGATTGGTTGGATGATACCTCACTCACCTTAAACCTGTCTTATGATAGTTGGTGACCTGTTTTTATGTACTATGTTCTTACTTTCGTTGAGTTATCTTGCAATTCGAGATGTGTTTTAGATTTCTTCCTGTACATTATTTAGGGAATCAATTCTTCATCAACATGTTCCAATAATCTTGCTTGTAGCTGGATGAAATCTGAAAACATATGTTAAGTCCTCTAACTGCGATATTCAAGGTACTACATCTCTCATAGTTTAACACCACCCTGACCACCAACGCCCCTAAAAGTCCGATCCACAAACCCAAGAGCCCCCTCATAAGCCCTAGCCGTCTCCTTCCCAACCACTGACTCAGACTCAAGCACAAACTCTAAAAGCCCATGCGGCCCCCCTTCAACCAAATACAACTCACTCTCAACCCCCATCGCCCTCAACTGCCCATAATGATAAACACTCTCTTCAGGAGGAACGACCTCATCAGCAGTCCCGTGAACAAAAACAGAAGGCGGATAGTCCCCCTTAACAAAAGCCTGTAAAAAACCCTCCCTCAATTCCTCCGGAACAATCCCCTCCCTTTCTTCATACTCCACAGCATCCAACATCTTCCCCAATCCCGGTGCTCCAAAACACCCATCAAGCATCGTCCCATCAAGCTCCCACCTAACGGTCAACGCAAACCTCTTCGATAATGGACTATCCCCTTGGTGGAAATCATCACTGACAACAGCCCTATCAGCCAATAACCCCGAAACAGACTCAAGATCAACGAAGTTGGCAATAGAGGTCGGTGGACGACCTCGCGTCCAATGGTCTAGCAGCATATTCCCGCCGAGACCGTAGACGGATATCAATGCTGCTGGTTTGGGATTTGCGTGGATGCAGGCTGCGCGGGCCGAGTATGCGCCGGCTGAGAAGCCAGAAACTGCTATTCGGGTGCTGTCCAGTGTTGTATTTGCAGGTAAGTTGTTTTTGAATGCCGGGCTTGTTAGGAAGGTGAAGAGGGCTTTTGCGTCGGTGATTTGGTCTGCCGTTGTTTTTGGGTGGATGAGGCGGTAGTCGGCGCTTATGAATATGTAGTTTGATCTTTGGCAGTGGGCTTGGAGTTTGTTAGTGGTTTTTGTTGTTTGGTTTGCGAGGGGTATGGGGGATTCCGTATTGGCAATTGGCAATTGGGCATTTGGTGGGAAGTGCGTACCATATAGCCAGTGCGGGAAGGGCAGTGAGCGTCTTGATCCGGCTGTCATTCCCCCGCCGTGGTAGTAAACTATTGCGGGGAGGGAGTCTGTTGCCGGAGGTAGGTAGTAGTCCAGCCTTATATCGTGGTTGTCGATTGTTGAGTAGATGAGGGTTTTGCCCCCCCTCCGGGAGCTTCATGTTCTCTGCCGGAGGCATTGTAGTTGCTGCTTTATTGCTGAGGGTGCTATCTTGGATATGTTGCTGCGAATCATTATGTTTGGAGTGGTGGGTTATATACAATCGTCGGGGAGGAAATGGGGAGAAAGATTCTCCCGGTTCGATCCGGGCCTTGTTCGAATGGTTTCTTTCTTTTCCCTGGACCGGATGACTTGGGGTCAATTTGTTTGAGATTTGTATTTTTTCCTGCTTCTTTGTGGAGATTATCCTGAGCTGCAGGGATAATGAATGTTGGTTTATGTACCTGACACCCGGGGAGGAGCGGGAGCCTCGCAGATGCGCGGAACATGTTTCGGCACATTGTGGCGGGTATCATCAGGCTGAAGAGTTGTGGCCTACAGATGTAACTACTTTTGGGGTTCGTTTGGGTCTGGTTGTGATATGGCGAACAGCATATATAAAAATGGCCGTCGTCCTTAGAACAGCATTAGACCACCCTCTATTAAATCTCATAGTTCATATCTCGAAGCACATCCCACGTTACATCTTCCACTCATCCTTCCCAAGCCTGATAATATCAGGCTGTTCCACAACCCAATATTTCGACGGTGCATTTCCAGCTTCGGCCATCCGAGCAGCAGCGACAGCCGCCCGACCAATAACAGTCTGATCTGCAGCTGCAGTTCACATGGGCATCCATACAACAATAGTAAGAGTAATCAAAACCATGCCAATCTTATCCTGAACACCCTGCCCCAACTTATTCAACCCCTCCATAAACCTCTCCAAAAACACAAGCTTAGCCTTCTCCCTACCAATAATCATCCCAGGATGAAGAACAATAGCGGTCTCAAAATCCGTCGCCTTAATAGCATTCTCAACACCAACTTTCATTCGCGAGTACGGCACCCACCCCCAAAGCAAACTTCTAGTTCCACCACTAGAAATGAAAATATAAGTCTTCACACCGGCCGCCTTGGCCGCTTTGGCATTCTCGATGACTGAGTCGTGGTCGATTTTCCATTGGTTTGCTAGGCCGCCCGGTGCATTTCCCATTGTTCCAACTACATTAAAGACTGTTGTTGGATTTGGAGATAGGGTTGAGATCATATCGGCCCATTTGAAGATGTCTGGTTCTTGAAGGGATTGTAGTTTTGGGGATCTGTTGTTTGGGAGTCTTCTTGAGATTGTGTTCACAGATTGGAATTGTTCTGTTGTGAGGAGGGTTGCTAGGATTTGGGAGCCGACTGCGCCTGTGCAGCCGAATACTGCTGCTGTTGCTGGTGTTGTTGTCATTGTGGAAGGCGTGGAGGTGGAAGCTGTTGCCTTCTTAGCGACAGGCTAATAATACACGTCTCGGGCAAGTCTGAACACAAATCTATGAAAATTGATAGCCCTGGGAATGATTGGGCGCAGTTGCGGTTGCAAACAAGGGGTACAAAGTGCCGTCGTTATCAATTTAGATTGGGTGATGCAGAAGGGTAAGTATTTTGAACACCTTGCCACTTTATTACTAGAAGATCCAGGTATTTATATTTTTACAGAAGCTAGGAGTTCAGAAGGGTTGCAAAGGTTGCCTGCAGTGGCTGACGTTAGCCACAGGCGTTCGGCCGCGATCTGTGGCAAATAACATCAGCCACGGGAACTGAAGATCCCGAGGTTGACATATGATTCACACAGCCCTATCAAGAAGCACAAGAGTCAAACTGGATGCATTTGACTAACGTCGCTATATACTCTTAATCAGGATTGTGGTCTTGGTTCTGATTTCGTTAGCGTGTGCTCATATAGGGAAAGTACGAAATAACCATCCTCAGAAACTCATAAACCATTATTATACTTTGACACAGTGTACAGGTGCAAAGCAACCAAAAATATATATACAGAAAGATCACACCAAAACATCAAGAAGTACAAACAGCCTTAAGCCTAGGCCCCTCAGCCGAACTCTCCAAATAAACATCCATCTTCCTAGAAGCATTATCCATGCCCTTGAGCGTCGGTTCCGGCTTAAGCGGTGCAGACCCATCAATCCTTAAATCAGAGAAAAGCAAAGCCAACGGCGAAGACTTCCAAATATATTGCCGTCTCGTGTGGAACACAGTAGTAACCAAGAAAATGAAACTCAAAAACACCAGCGCGATGGGGAGGATCATCCATGGCCAGCGCACATGAACATAGGATTGAGTCTTCCACGCCATTCCAGTCTTGAGAGACTTGCAGATCTTAGACCGAGCATGTGTCGTCAATGATGAGGCGAGTGATTCAAAGAGAGAATTGATTTCGCTGTAATTGCCGTACGTGCCGTAGACGGCTTCAATTGTATCGGATGACCAGCTTGGTCGGTTGATGATGGGGCGAGAGCCTGTTCCTTTGAGGAGTGGGGAGACAGAGTTTGACATGGCGAGTGTGCTGTAGTAGTTGACCTCATAGGTGCATTCTGGGGTATCTTTGTTCTCGCGTCGCGTTCCATTCACGTAGCATGTGTCTGGGGTGATTGCGACGTTTTTGCCAAAGGCGCTGTAATCGGTGGTGGAATTTGATTTGCCATCGTCTGAAGTCATTGTTTCTGTGAATACTCCGTCGTTAACTGCTGCGTCGTATGTGCCGACGCAGTAGTAAAGGGCGCATTCTGTTGCGCTGATGTCGGGGGGTGTGCCATAGCCGGATGCGCTGATGGCCGTGAAATTTAGGATTAGTGCCAGATCTGTTGTGTTCAATTTGACGAGAGGCTTGTATGTTGTGGAGTTAATCATAGTGTTCGTGTTGATGGCCGTGTTGAAGGAGAACCCATTTGGTAGTTTGTAGTTGTAAGAGAAGTAAGAACCGTATGGTTCTTTGCTCAGTGTCAGAGAATCAGTGATGTTTGAACAGCGGCTGCAGTAACCGAGAGACTGATATGGTGAAAATGTACAGTTTCCAGTTGCACACTCCATCATAACAGTTTTACTGTTTGGACTCTGCTCTTGGAAAAGACCGGAGTAGATGGCGCCCATATTTGAAAGTGGGACTTTGTTCATTCCCGGTCCAGCACCCATATCATAATCAGTGTAAAGGCTGGAATTGCAGACCTGAATCGAGGATTTTCCAGCAGCTTGAATGGACCGTTCTTGAATACCAATAACCTGTTGAACAAAGGGATCGGTGGCTGCTGCCAACACGAGAACCACACATCCAAACGTCACTAGATGGCTTTTGATGAGAGTTAATCAAAATGGACATTCGTGTTCATTACTCTAATGGATAGCTCACCGAGGAACAAATCTCAAGAGCGCAATAAAGGCCCCCGCAGGTCCGCGACTAGCGGCATCTAGCAGCGTCAAGTCACTGAGCTTATTTCCATTGCTAAACCATGACCACTTAAGCTGCGACAGACCTTCACAGACAATGAACACCATACAGGCCTTCATCACCGTGGATAAAACCGAGACTAATGCGTTAAGCGTAATACCATATGGCCAATCAGGCACAGGCTTTCCATCGTACTCGTACAGCACCACAATAATCGCAACAAGAAACACGGCCGACGTGAGACAACTCAGGACTTCCAGGGTCCAGCTAGCACCCCAGAAAAACGGCTGAGACTGGAGAACCGCCTGTTGCTCTGCCGTGGATAACGGTCGAGTCTTGCCCGTCTGCGTCGCTGGCGGATCGTCCAGCCGGACATAAGTCATCGGATACTCATTCTTGAACTGCGACATCGTGGCTGTCAACAGACATGACAAGGATACATTCGACTTTCAAGAGCATTGAAAGCATTAAGGAGAAGAAAACTGGGACGAGGAACCTGATGAACCAGGTTATTTCCCGATTTAGCGAAGAAGTGAAACTAGGGCCATTGTTGGAGTTGTACCGTGGTTTATTCTTGAATTGTTGCCGATAATCTATTCCCTGCGAAGCTTAGTGTCGGACAAGTTCTCCACTGGATCGTCGGCTTGCCCTAAGGGCTTGCTTGTTGAACAGGGAAAAAGTGGGCCGGGGAATAGCTTTGAGACACTCCTGTGTCAATTCTGGAAAGATGTGGATTTCTTTTATTGAATTTATTCTCCTCTTTGGATTCTAGCAATTTTCCTATTTGTTCAATTCCTAAAATATCATGCCGATCAGAATGTCTGATGTTCGTTCCAACGCTCAATTTCCAGCTGCGCCCGTGGAGATCATCTACTTCAGCTAAGCCCTGCAGAACTCAAGGAGTTCGGAAATGAATCATTCAGTGATATCTCGGGCCGCTGTGTCATTTCCATATTTGACAATCAATACCCCATGGCATTGGAGTAACAGCCGCGCTAAGCAGTGGCGTTGTGATACTAATTTAGGGTCTTTAGTCAAGGCCGTAAGAAAAACTCGCATGGTTTCTATGGCCTGCATCCTCAGTCTACAAGCTTAGAGACTACGTTTAAGGATTATCTAGGAAAGGTAGCGCCATGAAAACATCAGAGGTAAAAATGCTGCTATGAATTCACCGTTGGGGGCCGGTAGTCAAGGCTTAACGTTAGCTGTTGGTAGCGTTGCGGAGACCAAATGTATATTGGTCCAGTAGGCTGACAGGTTAGCCATAGTCCTGTATCATCCTAGTACCTCACGTTTCATTTGAATATTCCAAGTTTATCGCGACATCTCTGTTCAAGTGACGTTGGAGAAAGAGGCTTTGTGGCTTTGTGACCTTGTTTTCCAGGCGTACATCGCGGGGAATCTCTCCACCGCGACGACTCCCTCGCGTCCCATAGCACCCAATCATCTCAGAACTTTGTGTTATCTGACCATTTGGCACTAACCAATAAGCTCCCACCCTCCCTTTTGGTCTGCTGCCTCAACACCGCCACTATTAACACTATCGGGCTCCTTCGCCCCGGGTGACTCAGCCACAACTAGTTCAAAGTCTGACCGTCGTATAAAACTTTTGACGAGGACTACATTTGAGGCAATCAATCAGTTGCTCCGATGGAAACTATCAAGAATATTATCAGTTACTTGGGAAGGCTTGAATGGATAGAACGAGTTCAGCATGTTTGCAAGTTCTGCGATCGGACAAACTTCGCCAGTATTGTTTATGAAGTGGGTTATTCAGATTTCTAGTCTAAATGATACTGATCTGTCTGACTTTCAATGATGTATAGGATGAGAATTTAATCGCGGTTGACAACATTCGATTATCTGGTCACTACCACTGGCTTATTATACCAAAACAACATGTCGCTCGTGACATTGAGGGTCTGAACAGTGACCATCTCTCATTGTGTAAGAAGACAAAGATGAATTCGCCTTGCAAAAAACGACAGCTTATCGTTGCTACCCCATGTAGTGCAAGACATGGATAGAGTAAAACGTTATCTGCTCGAGTCTCGATGTTCCGATTTGCTCTCCTCAGATATACACTCGGGCTATCACAGAGGACGACGCCCGCTACTGGGCAACATATATTACCCGGATATTATATCAGTCCATCATTTGCATCTCCATGTCATAGTTCGACCAAATCTGGTTGGGTGGCTTTTTAAATATCCTTCATGGTTGTCGCTGATGTGGAAGTCGGATGTCCAAGTACTACGAGAAGTTCAAGAACTAGCGAAGAAAGACTCTTAGTAGTTAGATCACCTATCACAATTTTATGATGAATTGGGGGCACTATTTCAGTCGGAAATCAATTATAGTCTTAGATCTAGTCATGCAAAATTTGCCCTTGAAAAAAGAGCGAAATGGGTGGCTGGCGCTTCAGATCCGTATGAGAAGTTCCAAGTTTGTTCCCCAACGGGATTATTATTATTCAAGGTCAGGGAATAGGGTGTCTGGTTTGGGAGCAAGGGATAGATTTATTGTCGTTGAACAGCGCCTCATTGCTTTGGTGTTGAAGTCGGTAGGTTTGTGTGCAGGTGAGTTGCTTACTCAATATGGGCCTACAAAATAGGCTCCAACTAAGTCACCAAGTAGAACTTGACATACCAGTTCATTTCTCGGCAGCAATTGTTCACATTGTACTTCTGGAACCAATACATGTGGAGTTGGGCCTCATACTGAACAGGTCCTTCTGGTTGAAAGATGCTGTCAATTCTGTCCAACTGTGACGTAATCTGGGACTTCGTGAACAGGGTTTGACAAAGTGACTGGATTGTTACATCCTGAGAAAGGTATGTTTTTCGATCTTGAGGTTGATATACCGGTGATCCGATAAGAAACTGGAGTAGTGGGTCAAACAGGCTCCCCACTTGGGAGTTCAATCCGTTGATATAATCTCAGATGTCGTGGGTTTAGAGTAAAGAGGCAAAAGAAAGTAGGGGAATAAGTTCATAGGATGATCAGTCGCCATGCAAGGTACGAGGCGTTGAACCAAAATTCTACTGAAAGGGGAATAGATCTGCTCATGTCACGTGTCGAGGCGTCATCAAGTGACATCTCTTCTCCTCACCCCAACTTCCTCTCCAAGTTTCGCCTCTGACCTCGAACTACGCTCTGTGTGGTATTATTGTATTGCACATACCTCAGTTTGCTACTGCTTATCTACAAACCATTCCCCCTTTCCTTTAAACGGGTTACACTCGCCATGAAGTTCTTATCGGCCGGCCTCTTGGCCCTCACCGTTCCTCTTGCCAATGCGGCCGCATTCTCCCTCTTCGACCCCTCGCAAGTCTCATTGAAGACTGATGAGCCCAAGTTCCCTGTTGAGGGTGATAACCCGTTGAACTACTGTGCCGACCCGGCTAGTTACCGCCTCGAAATTGAGTCGGTGGATCTCACACCCAACCCACCTCAAGCGTACGTTGAATGCCCTCTTCGCATGACGACTTCTACTGACTAATATCTTACTCTTTCCAGAGGCCAGAAGTTGATCATTTCCGCCGAAGGCACTCTGCTCGATCGAGTTGAGAAGGGCGCCAAGGTGAACCTCGAAGTGAAGTGGGGTCTCATTACCTTGATCTCGCAAACCGTGGACCTCTGCGATGAACTCAAGAATGTCGATATGGCCTGTCCTTTGGAGAAGGGCAAGATGGTTCTGACCAAGGAGGTGGAGCTGCCCAAGCAGATTCCTCCCGTACGTGCTTCCTAATGACTTTGTAAAGAAACGATGGCTAATGTTTTCTCTTCAGGGCTCATACTCAGTTCTCGCTGATGTCTACAACAAGGACTTGAAGCAGGTCACCTGCCTGACCGCTACCAACATACAATTCCACTTATGATTCTACTGAACTTCAACATCGCTTTGCATCCACGCTCCAGGTGGCATCGGCTTGTTTAACTCTCAATATCATTAGCCTTGTGATGTTTTCAGAATCCAAGCACCCACACCGCTTTGATATACGCCCTTTCTTACGACCCTCTTGAGTTTTGCATTTATGTTTTGACTTTGTTACGCTGCACTATTTGGATTTCTCCCATTGCTACGCTCTTTGCATCTACGTTGATATTTTTGTGATTGTCTGTTTCGGCATATACCAAGTCCTTTTGTAAACTCGGTAGCTACACGTACCTCAAGACCATAATACATATCCGTCCTCCCATAATGGCATTGAAACTTTTTTTCAGATGTTTTGCGGCCGTGGCATTGCATCCAATCCGCCTTCCGCAAATAGTAAGTTGACTCCACCACGTCACATCGATGTTGAACCTCGATATATATATGCACCGAACTGGTCTGACGGACTGATATTTTCTCCACCAGGGACTCGGATAAAAAATTCAAAGCATAGCACCATAAAGCCATAGTAGGATACATAAGAAGGGTGTATGTGCATTCTCGTTTTAGTTATGCTGGGTATCTTCCCTATCTAATATCTCCATGTTTTCTCCACACCCGTCTCCAACCAGACGAAGCTGGCTCCACCAGCAAGAAATCAGACGCGATGGGATCAAAATGTTTTGCATATCCCCAAGACAAAATGTCGCAAGAAGGAACCTTGTTTCGCAGTTAAATGACCAAGACGATAACGGATGTAAATACGTTTACTCTCCAAACAGACGGCGCACACGCTTGAGAACGCTGTCCTTCTCCGGGTCGTAAGGGTGGTCTTTGCTGGGGATTTCGAGGACGGCTGGGAAGGGGTCGGTGAATGTGTCGACGCTGTGGCGGATGCGCTCCGCGACCTGTTGTCGAGAGATATGTTAGAGAACGTGTCGCTGACCAAGTGCGGGTGCTGCACTTGGGTTATTTGAGATAGAAAGAGTGCACTCACGTGCTGGTTGATCAGTAGAATGGCGATATCTTTCCGCTCCTGGGTGAAGTTCTGGAAGGCCCGTTCGATCTCCGAGGTCTCGGTCTTGGAGTCGACGACTAGGAAGTTTCGCTGGGAACCTGGGGCTTCGGTAACGTGCTATGAATGGTAGAAGTCGTTAGCACTGAGCTTCTCCTTGATACTGCAAAGTCGTGGGGTAGATCGGATGGTGCGCAGAGAGTCGTACCCCGATGCCTGCGAGCAAAAGACCGGTGACAGAGCTGTAATTTAGGCCAGGTTAGCCGGATCTGATTTCCTGCGGAGTGAACATATCATAGCAGGGGTTATTTACTCCTCATCGCCAATGACGGCAAGGAATTGCCGGTCCTAGAGTAGTGATCAGTTAGCGACGTTATCGGAGGGGCTGTTCCATCGAGCGAATGTCAGTACCTTGTAGGTTGCGGCCGATGCCGCCATGATGAATTTGAATGAATGAACGAGCGGAGGGTATTTGAGAGGAGTTCTCTCAGACCGGACTCGTGAAATGAGGTGGAAACAGCAAACAGGAGGTCTTGTCCAGCTGTCCGTTGATCGCCGTGGTTATCGGGAGAGCTGCCATTACATAAGCTGATGCAATTTTGTTTACTTCCGACATTGAACTTCACCTGCTCCTTGCCGCTGATGCACTCGCGATATTTCTTATCATAGGGCGAAGCTGCGGAGGAACAGCTTCTCTCTTATATGACTTTCGTCCTCCAACAACATGCCACGCCTCGTACGCCGTCGCCCGCTCTCTGAGCGCATTATCTCCTACCTGAATCCATATGACTTTTTGCTTTGGCTCTCCGAGGAGTTTGAAGGTGGCGATTGGGAGCAGCTTGAGAAGAACTGGGCGCTGCCTATCGGTATTGCGCTGAATTTGGTTTTCCTGATTGCGCGAGCGAAAAGTCGGTCCAGTGGCAGCAAGGCGTTTGATGATGTTTTCGGGGATGATGACAGTACATCCTTGCGAGGGTGGCTGGTGAGTGAATCTGCTTTTGAACGCTTGTACGTTTGTGATCTGATCTGAAAGCTAACTGTTGCTTCGTATAGGCATCGTTTATTGTCCACTTTCTAGCGCTTGCCTCCGCAGCGAATGCCTTCTATACGTTCTACAAGAAGCGACACTATCGCCTGTTTGAGAATTCTATCGAAACAGCCCCGGCGACACCCTCGGCCCAGCGCGTGCGCGTTGATTCGAGCCCCATGATGCCCTCTCCCCTGCGCTACATTGCCAAGGCCTTGTCAACTGAATCGGCCAACTCGAGAGCGCATCCTGATGCACAGCGTGATGTTTGGGAGCTTGCGATTTGGGATCCTTCGCCGCTTTGTCTTAGACTTTTCTGCTTGTTCAGCCCCGGACATGTTGTGGTTTACTGGCTCTTCCTGCCAACCCAGCTTTCTGATCCTCGCCCCAGTGTGACAATCGTTACCGCAATGGTCCTGACGGCACTGTTGTCAGTTCAGATGTCGTTTATTTCTTCTGCATACATACAGCAGGCCAAGGACCAGAAGGTTGTTCATAAGGAAGTGTTCAAGGAATATGACACCAAATACGTCCAGCCTCGAACACACCCTTTAATGCGAGACGTGGGCACTCAATTTTCCGATCCGCATGGACAACATCCAAAGTCAGAAGACGACCTCAACAGGGTTGATACCTATAGCCCAGCCATACTAATCAATCGTGGTTTCAAGACTAGCCCCAACCCAAATTATCTGAAGCACGTCGACCCTGAAGGGCACACCCCTGTGCGCCAGCCAACTGCATCAACACCAGGAGTCTCCTCTATATTCCAAGGCCGACCAATGCAGACCCCGAATGTGTCTGGGGACGGTTCGCCGCTGGTGCGAAACCACAACCGCACAACTATGCGACAGCCACAATTCCGATCAACGGCAACAACGTCTACGGGTGATGGTGGCAGCCTCGGGATCTTCACCCACGCAAACTCCCCATTACGGAAGTCTGCGACAACGTCCTTTGACCGGCGTGTACAACAGAATGGTGATTTTATCTACAAGGAACGCGGTACCACCCCGATGCAGCGGACTTCAAGTCCCCTGAAAAGAAGTGTTGTGCCGGGATCCGCGAGCACCCTCGGCTCAGGCTCAGCCAACATTCATAGATCAGATAGTCCCTACACACGTCGAGAAACCGGACGATTTTAGGACGAATGTATGACCATTTTCTGTTTCAGCACCCTGCTACGCCCTTTTTCGGACATTTTCCATGCGACATTTGCATGATTTGCTGCCTGTCATGCGCATAGATGACAGGAATCAGCCCCCCCCCCCGGGTTACATATCTTTAATCGACATTTTACTTAATGCAGCTTTGCATCTGATGTCTACCCCAGGAACCTTTTCACGTGCGCCACGCTCAGGAATGCAAGCGGGCGACCGACGGCTGGCCGTGGGAATCAGGGCACGTCTTCTTTTCTATCAATCAATATCGATTAGCTTTGGGGGTATTGGTCGTTGCGTAGACCATAATTCCTTACTGCGCCAAAGAGCGGACTTAGGGCTAAATATCGTCGATACCGGGTCGCGCCTTCTCAACACCCAGCCCTCGTAACTTTCAATGACGCAATTGCCAATTGTGAAATATGAGACAGGGAGTTGCCATTCCAGAAGGCGGCAGGAGATTTCATAGGGCATTCCGGCTCGGGGGCTGGCATTCTTCATCGAAGACTCTGGCATTCCGACCAACGAGATCCCATTATTTTTACGCGTTGAGAGCGCGAATACCTCTGAAGATCGCTCAACAGCCTGTCGGCTTCAATGACCCCGCCCTGTGTTTTCTTCGAATCTACCTTATCACTCGTCCTAAGCCGCCAACCGACATCGCCTAACCTCGACCTCGACATTGACCTCGAACGCAGCACGACTACTAACCAATTCTACAGAGCTACTTTCTCACGGCATGGGATAGAGATACCTTGCAGTTAGACCCGGGAGTCAGGTCTCTGAATTACATCTGTTATTCACTCAATATGGCCGAAACCCGTGTCGAATTGCCAGATGGCCACCTTGTAAACCTTTCCCCACGACCAACACGCGACAGTCCTTACAAAGCGTATCGAGCAGAGTACAGAGGATGCGCTACAGAGCTGGCTGCCACTCCTCCCCCTCGCTACGCCAGCCAAACGAGAACGCCGGAATACGGCGTCTCGCGCTGTGCATCAGGAAATATGTCTCAGGCTCCCAGGACTACCAAGCTTCCTGTCCCCAGGAACGTTACGGAAAGCCGCAAGACCGAATTGAGAGAGACTCCAAGTCCTACCGGCATACCGAAACCGACTACCCCTAGTCAATTTGGACCAACTGGGGATCACCCTCGATCATCTGGTAAGGATCGTGACCAGTACTGGAGCAAGATAAGAGAGAAGTTTGAGAAGGACTCTCCTTTGTCGAGACGAAGTGCCAGGAACAAGGACAATGGCAACGACGAATCTCCAAACCCTCGCATGTCGTATCACCGCACTCGACCTCCCACCGCCAGTCGACAGGATCACAATAGCCCTTGCGGGGCCACAGCACGGACAGGAATCCCCAGTCCAAGCACAGCGAAAAGCAGCCCTGCACAGGGTCATCGGAACGACACTTGCCACCCATCAGACACAAACGACAAATGGCGGAAGCAGGGTGACCAGTGGATTAATTCGGAGTCTGCTGAGAACACACCACACAAGTCAGAGCAAACCGACACGACCGCCGAATCCAGTCCACGATCTCATCCGTCCATTTCTCCAGTATCCGCTGAAGATAGTTCGATAACTGACTGGGAAGACCGATTTGTTGTGAATATGCCAACAGCGAAAGACCCCAACCCGCCAACGATGACTTCTCAGCAAATTTCGGAGTACCAAAAGAGCATCGAGAGGGTATATCAAGATGGAGGGAAAATGGCGGATCCAGATGCATTACCCAGTTGTCATGCCTCGCCAGAAAGCAAGATCAGCCCTCGCAGTCACCGCGCCAAAAGCCCCCGGGAATTTAAGCCATACAAAGCGGGCTATGATGGGGCATACGATGATCGTCCAAAACTAGAAACGCGGCGATACGAGCCTCAGCAACCGTCGCAGCACCCTCACCAGATGCAACCGCAACTGCAACAAGAACAAGAACAAGAACCACAGCCGCTGTCAGCATCACAACGGCAAGCAGCAGCACACTACTACAGTCCGGATGAGATTGGGGGGAATCGAATTAGCACGATTTGGGAAGAGTCGCCAACAAAGACCAAGGAAAAACGACACCCACAAAATGCTGATGGTTCTTTTTTAGGATGCAGGGAGATCTCAGGAGAGAAGAATCCAGACGAAATCCTCATGTTCGCCCCCACAGATGACGCCAGCCTGCATCCACGCCCATTAACTCTGGCTTCCAAGAAGAAGCAGAAAGACACGAAGAGAGTGACTGCCCAGCATACGATGAAAAGTGTAGAGGAGACAGTAATCCTCAAAGAAGAGCAGCCACAGAATTCTCAGAGTTCGAAGCATGTCCAATGCTCGAAGTCGTCAACAACGTGTCAGAGCCGAAGCTGTCTCCAGCACCCGATCCCCAGGACCGGATCCCAGGACTCGGGAAAAGAAAACAAGCTCCCCTCCTACAACTCACCCGAAGAGCCCGCGAGGCTCGAGGACGGCCGGCGGGAAGACGATGTGTTCATTATCACACCCACTATCACACGCACTATGATTCCAACGCCGGACAAAAAACCATCTGCGCCAAAGCCACAAGGTTTGCGACGTCCTGGTGGCACAAGCCACACTGTTACAGCCGAAGCTATCAAAGCTGTCCGCGCGAAGGCCCAGATGATCTCTACGCCATCAGGTCTGCGGCCCGGGGTGCCGATCCCCAAGGACGAATTGAGAGCACCAACCTTGACGACTTCACAAACGCTACCAGCAGGCAGCATAACCTCTACGAAAGACAAAGAGGAGGCAGACCGCGCACAAGAACGAGCAACCGGGACAGCATCCAATTCTATCCGTGGCTTCATCCGTACCGGAGGGCTGGCAAGGTCTACGGGAATAGTACGATCACCTACAGATAGCCTTGCTTCAATACTCCGCAGCAGTACCGAATCTCTTCGAAATCGTGCGGAGTCTCTGCGCAATGGTTCGGGCTCTTCGAAAGGTTTGAACGGAAAACAATCAGTGACTCCTGAACCAACCCTCCCGTCCAGGGACAACTCAGAATCATCTCGATCAGCTAGATCTTTTCAGTCCGCCAAAGAGACCCATGCCACGTCGGGAAAAGTGACCCCGCCGCCACAAAAGTCGGCGGCGCAGGCTCCGCCTGAGAAAAAAATCCCACCCACGAAGCCAATTGCTGTTGCATCGAGCAAGCCCGCAGCAAAAAAGCCGACTCTGTCGGAGGACCCGCTATCTGAAAAGACAGATAAGACAGACAAGACAGAAACGAAAGAAAGGACAGAAAAACCTGTTCCTTCAGTCAAGAAAATATCTGCTTTGGCGAAGCCATCTAAGCTGGACAAACCATCGCGGTCTGTCAAGGTAACCGCATCAGAAAAGAAGTCTCCCCCTCCGGCCCCGAAAAAGGTCGATCCACCCAAGAAAGGGGAGAAGAAGGTAGAGCGAGTGAAGCCCCAGCCTCGGATCCGCACCTCAGGCAGTGTCCTGGAGATCGCCGAGTTGGATGGACTTCAGGTTGCGAGTCCAAACCAGACTCTTCAATCCAACATTACAAATGTCTATGCTGACCTGGGTGATATGCACAACCGAGACGAAGATGACCCTCCCAACCAAGGATCAAGCCCCTTGGCCCTCTCTTTGGTATTTGACATCATCGTCGTCGCCGTCACTCAAGTGAGCCGGACTTTCCGAATGGGTACCGACAGCCCTTACTCCAAATTTGTCGTCGCCAACATCATGAACATGACCCGTCATTGCTACCGCGTCTTCAAATGCATCTATGCAGCTTTCTCCCGTTACCAATCAACGGGGGCCTGGCCCAAAGCCCGCAATGACCAGGCCATCAGCAGATTCATGCTGGAGCTACTCCAGGCCATTGTCTACCTCTTCATTCTAGGGTTCGCAGCTATGGTCATCGGCCGTGCTGCTAGCTACGTCGTCCTCGTGAGTAGTTGGATAGTCTGGTTTGCAAGACCGTTTGCGTGGGCCTTCCAGTGTGTTGGTCGTGCCCTGATAATGTAACACTAGCGTGTTCTCTCTTACGTTTTTTTTTCATACTTGTCCAGTACATGTGATTTTGCCTGCCCCCTTTGGAAGTCTGGCGCCGGAATGCGAGTCTTATCATTTTGTGTTTCTCGTGTCTTTGTCCAGGTCGAAAGGACTATCACTCCTTTCTTGTATCGGCTGTATTTTTAGCCCATGCCTTCAATACATGAATACTTTTTTTTAAATCTGAAACTAAAGTCTCTGCTTCTTCTATACCCGGAGGTAGATCTCCACTTTTCTAGAAACCTGCCTACCTACCCATCAGGCCATAGTATTACGTTACCAAGAAAACCTACTGTACAACCAGCGAAAAAGAGGACAAGACAAGTCTGATGAATGATATTTCAAACCTAACCTAAAACCAAGAATGAAAAGCCGAATAGCAATCCCATACAACCGAATGGTCGCGGACCCAGACTCAAACAATCAAACCAGGGCAGCAAAACCGCCGCTCCGAATTGCCATGCTAGTCCAGCATCCACCTCCCATGTTGAAGAAGGAGATAAAACCAATTCAACATTTCTCTTGCATTTTCATAAGCCAGAGTTCGATTTTGTGTATGATGCTCCAAGAATATTACCCAACTGCGCCATGCTGGTGTTGAATGGTTTCTGTATGCTTGTATGCTAGCTCCTGCGATAGCCTTGCAACTTGGAAAAAAAAAAAAAAAAAAAGGAGAATGCGGAAAAGGAAACATACGATGAAGAAAACAAATGAGTCACTTTATATTTTCGAGAAGGGGGTGTGTGAGAGGAGGGTTCAATGGCGGGATGAAGGGACAACCATGTTGGATTGGATAGTCTCCTTCAACCTGGAGTAAGCGAGATATTTGCTCATTTCAACAAACAAAGACAAATTGCGACAGGACGTTTGGACTGTAAATAGATCCAAAATCGAGAAGCAGAAAGAAAAGAGAAGAAAAAGGACCGGAAAAAAATTGCAGGGCCGATGCTAAAGAAGACAGAGTCGACCATCGTCATTATAGCCACTGCGAGCTCTATGTATCAGAATTGGGAGTAGGAAAACAAACAGAACGAGGAAGGAAGGGAGCCTAAAGGGCAAAAAATTATGTTGAATTTTGTGGTTTCGACCATTCTTTTGTTCCCTCCGTTCTTCTGGACTGGTAGACCAAACAGAAAAACATGAATGTCCAGAAGAGCACCGGGCCCGGAGGGAAGTTGACCTGAAAAGAAGTAGTGAAACCGATGGAAGAAGCGCCATTGTTAAAAGAGACGGGGTATCGGTACATTATGTTGAAATGAAAACGCTGTGGAAGAAATCGTTGAGAGGTCTTCAGTCGTGACGCCATAAGACATTGCAGGGGAGGCCCGAGATGTGTTGGAGTGAATGTTGTATCGGGTTATGTAATCGTTGAGATGATGTTGAATTAGGTAAATGTTGAGATATTTTGGTGTGAGAATTGTAGATGACTCCAAAGAGTCCGAGTTTTTATGCAAGGTCACCAGTTCCAAGTTGAGGGGAACAGTATTAGTTGGCGGCGACTCCATTTGGTACGGCGGTGCCGTTGGTTTCAGGCTTTGCAGGAGCCTCGACCTCGACAGGGACTTCGAGGTCCTTCACTGCGAGGTCCTTGAATAGTTCAAAGACAGCATTGGAGCGGTGGAAATCGTTGTCAACGATGTTGACAAGGTACCAGTCTTCCATGACGTTCTCGATCAACTTGCGACTGGCGCTAGCTGCGTTGTAACACTTGGACCAATGTTCTCCCAGAAGGTACGCTTCGTCCTTCCAGGCCAAGAAGCTGACAGTCTCGACAATGGTAGGTTGAATGATCTCTCGTCCCGCGAAGATACCCCACGTTAAAGCATTGGGACTGTCGCGTGTGTTTGTCTTGAGCTCACCCTTCTTGTTGGTGGCGTGATAGGTCAAGTCATCGTTCTTCTCGATACGCGTGATGAGCTCGTCAATCAAGTATGAGGGGACCAGGAGCTCCAGGTAGGCTTTTTGGTATACGAATCCGTTCTTGGGACCCCAACCGTAGACGGAGTGGGAGGACTTGATACCGTTAACAGCAGGCTGAGAGTTGATTGTCAGGAATCCACGCTGGTTCAGGTCGAGCAAGTTGTCCTGAATGTCATTGGCTTCCGTGGTGATTGGTGAGTCACTCCATGGCAGTCTGTCAAGTTTGCCCTTCAAGAAACTGACGAAGATATTGGACAAGTCCTTGATGGACTTGGGCTCGCCCCATAACTTGATGTTTTGCTCGTTGGTTCCCTTGAGTCCCACACCGTATGCGTCCAGCTCACCGAACGCAGGCGAACGAGAATCCGTCCAGCGACCGTTGGGGAACTCGTCCCAAGTCTGTGTGCGAGCAACGTACGATGAGTTTCGGTTGCGCCAGAATACCGGACGCACATCTTCACCCCGACGATTGAGGGCGAGCGAAGGCCGCCATGGCAGCGCCCGTTGGATAGGGGCTTCTTCCGACGGGCAAAGACCGAGCTCATCCAGAACTGCCTTCGTCGCTTGGGCCAAGTTCATGGTATAGAAATGTAAGTGGTTGATACCGGCGGCCATCAGCTTCCTGCACATCTCAGCGATGAGGCTCTTTCCAATTTCTCGAACGACAGAGTCGTCGTTCTTGACAGGCTCGAGGGCTTCCATCCATGTTGGGGGGATGTGAATCTTGGTCCAGTTTGATCGACGGATGAAAGCAGCGTAAGTCTGGATAGGCATGATACCGGGGATAATGGGCACATGAATGCCCTTCGCCCGGCACCTCTTAACCCAATCGATGAAGTTCTCCACATCGTAGAACATCTGGGTAACAATGAAGGTACTGCCTGCATCCACCTTTTCCTTCAAGTGATCGATCAATTGCTCGACATCAGAATTGTCATCAGCTCCCTCGGGGTAGCCGCCGACACCAATGTCGAAGTGGTTGCCATATTTCTCCCGGATATATTTGACCAAATCCTTTGCGTAACGGAAGCCGTTATCGGCGGCCTCCCAAACCTCCTTGTCACGGGGTGGGTCTCCTCGAAGAGCCAGGATGTTGGTGCAGCCAGCCTTGTAAGCAGCCTGAAGGGCTTGGTCGACCTTTTCTATCGGCATATCCGTGCAAGTCAAATGCATGCATGTCTCCAGACCATAAACCGATTGTGCCACATTGACCATCTCGCAAGTCAGATCCGATAAGCGACCGCCAGCACCCCAGGTGATGTCGATGAAGGAGGGACCTAAGCCATGCATGCGGTCCATCCGATCGTAAAGGTTCTGTACACCCTGGGCGGTCTTGGGAGGGAAGAACTCGAAGGAAACGCCCGTCTTTCCATCTGCCTCATTCTTGGCCAGCTTCTCCCGGATATGCATGATGCCGAGTTTAACTATTTATATCAGCACATCCACGGGGTAACATAAAGGAAAGTGCTTCCATGCTCTTGAGTTGGAGATGAAGCGACATACCGAGGATTGGCTAGAATTAATGGAATTGTTGGTGAATCCAGCACGCAGTGCAGATGAGACGTCCGAGAGCAGGACCGGATTAGCGTGGACGTAACACACACGTCAAGTAGAGAAACCAAGAACAAAGTAAAAGTGAGAAAACAAAAGAAAGAAACAAAAAAGTCAAGCTCGAGAGAGTCGAGTGAGTGAAGAAGGGAGAAATCCGGTGAGCGATCGACGATTTGGCGGGGAAGGCCGGCCATCGGAGCACGTGTCTTGGCCCCTTGGAGAGACAGCACTCAACAAAAGCAAAGAAAAGGGCGAAAAGGGCATATTGGGTCTCTTTCTTTCTGTCTACAGCTCTCTACGAATAACCATGAACTTCCAATTGACCAGACTACAGTGTATGGCGAGGGTATACTCGCTGGCCACCGCCCCTCCTGCCCCTCTCTCGGGAAAATTTTCTGTTATCAGTCTCCGATTCGCAATTTGAACTTCGACAATTGCTTCACCCCGGATTTCATAACTATACACCATGTCCGCTGTTCCTCCTCCCACTGTCGACCAGGACTACAAGTCCTCTCTCCTCCCCCTCCTCATCTCCAACAATGTCCTCTCCTTCGGCTCCTACACCTTGAAGTCCGGCCGCGAGTCGCCCTACTTCTTCACCTCCTCCCTCCTGCACACCGCACCTCTGCTGCGGGCCTCTTCCGCCGCCTACGCTAGCGTTCTCTCCGCCGAGCCTTTCGTCACCACCGACGCCGAAGGCAACACCAAGGCCGACTTTGACATTATCTTCGGTCCCGCATACAAGGGTATCCCCATCTGCGCCGCCGTCACCAACGAGCTCGCCGTGCGGGACTCCCTCTCCGGCAAGAACGCCTGGGACAATGTCAGCTACTCCTTCAACCGCAAGGAGGCCAAGGCCCACGGCGAGGGTGGAAACATCGTCGGTGCCCCTCTGAAGGGCAAGCGCGTCGTGATCGTCGACGATGTCATCACTGCCGGCACTGCCCTGCGCGAGGCCGTCGGTATCATCGAAAAGGAGGGTGGTATCGTCGCCGGTGTTGTTGTTCTGCTGGACCGTGAGGAGCGTGTCAGCGACACTGAGACCAAGAGCGCCATCGGTGTTGCTCAGCGTGATCTCGGAGGCAAGATCCCCATCCGCTCAGTCCTTGGTCTGCACGACTTGATTGAGAAGCTTGGTGACAAGATTGGTGCTGGTGAGATCCAGCGCCTGAAGGACTACCGTGAGCGCTACGGTGCTCAATAGATACAAGCTTTGAAATCCGCCCACGCCGGCATGATGTATGAGCAAAGATAAGACAAAAGAATTCGATACCAGGATAGTTTGGAGTTGCTATGAACATAAATTTGATTGAACATCGCCCAGCGACTGGGGTGATGGCCACATTCCAAGCAATAGCTCATCTTTAACATATCTTTAACATCATGCTTTCGCGAATAAAACCATCCAGTCTCTTCGAGGTCCTAGAGTCTTTCCGCCTGGCAGTTTCAACTCCACCTACTATGGTGTCGACAGTATCAAAACGGAATGCGCAAGCGAGACATCTCGCACCATCTTAAATCTACATCCACAGCAAGTCCTCAATGAATTGGTGATACCAATTTTCAATCCGAAGAATCATTCATCAAGTTCCAATCGGGAAACATGGATATCAATAAGAACCCCTTTGTCGCGCAACCACGTAGCCGAACCCATTGCTAATCCAGTGTCTTAGCCCTCCCTATATCCTCCACCAACCTGAGGTGTTCAGATCTCACACCCTTAACCGAGAAGTCGCACTCGGAAGCCGTACTCCCTGTGCACAAGACAATGTCTCACCTGAACTCGAAGAGATTAATCGTGCCAAATTGGGCACAATGGTGAGCCAATGGTTGAAACACCCCGTATAAACCATGGAGTTATGTTATTGCGCGGCAAGCGACAGCAGCACAGCAGAGTTTAGCTGTGTCATAGACTGTGTCTGACAAAGAGCACCCCAAGGCAGGACAGGCACCGCTTGCAATGGAATTGAGGACCTTCAGGGCATTGTAGAGATCAGTAGCTGCGCTCAGGCAATTTGTATCCGTGGATCTGACGGAAGTCAATCACTTGATCAAGTACGAGGTGATACATCTTTTAGTGCCACATACCGTGGTTACGACCCTGTGCTGGAGTTATGAGATTCATTGAAAGACTGTGATCGAATGTCGTTTGGTGACTTATAGATCATTTAGCACAATGTGCTGGTTGTAATCTGAGATCTGTATTGTCTAGGCATTGGGTTCTAATGCACGTCATCCTCCGGTGATCTCCTAATGGGCGCTTCTGTTTCACAAAGAGCTTAAGAACGGGACTGAAGTCTTGGATTGTAACTAAGCTAATCGATATCTGTCAATTAGATAAACAATGGTGAGGTGAAAAATTACCTGGCAAGTATAAATGCAACGGTCAAAGTATACTATCAACTCGATGGTGTCAAGAAGACTCAATTCCGCAATGACATAACATCAATCTGTAATGCCAAGTCTTTGACTAGAGTATAAATGTAAGTGATCAAAAGCGCCATGGTGACATGATCCGGCAGAGCACAGATATATGTCAAGTGTCAATTCTTATGTATCCGAGCTGCGTGACATGCATATCAAGTCCGCCAACCACATATTCTGGGTCCCTTAAAGACATCCTATAGATACGATGGAAGTGTATTTAGTATCTAGTACTGACAGACAAACGGGTCAGTATTGAGCAAATTACCTAAAATCACTTCAGCTGGCGCATTTTATTAAACCCAAGATCGGACTTTGAATGCTCTCCACCACAGTCCGGTCACAGCAGATCGTGGCTTGATACATACATTCAAAATCCTCATAATTGGGTCTCGTGGTTTGAGATATCTGGGGTACAGAGCAGAACGACTTGCCAGCTGGATTGAATCGAGCTCATTCTCAAATGCAACTAAGACTCGCCCCCAACAAAACTTTCATATATTTTACCCGCAGGCTCAATTTCTGCCTAGGCTAACTGATTTAGCCTCACATGATAGTGTCCAATCAGGTTGCCCCCTACTTGATTTCAGCCATGATGTCTCAAAGTTCTATCATCAGACTCAACCTGCTTTTCATTTGAACACATTGACAGAACTCAATTATATATCGGCTACAATAGCAGTTTCTAAAACCTAGCCAAGATCATGTACTCCAGATGCCATCTCACTAGGAAAATCTATCGTATCACTATTGATTGCCACTATCTCCACGCTGTCATCGGACCCGGTGTCTACGATAGACCTCGGGTTACATCTTAGTGATGCAGCTCAATTAGCAACTATCTGCTGTCTCGATTGCTCACTTTACAAGCAAACAATGTGTCGGTGATCTATGAAGTCACAGGACATTGCAAGTGACTTTGATAGTTGTCACAGTGATTCAGCTGTCTCGTCCAGGTTGAAATCTTGCATGCAGAAAATGCGAGTACCAATTGCCTTTCGATCCGGATATTAGATAGTAAAAATAACTTGGACCATGCACATGTACTCCATACATTCCGGCGTAGACGTGGCCTAGATGACAACTTGAGTCAATAGTACATACCCTAAACAGAAGAAAAATCCGTTATCTTGACATAAATCAAACACGCAGATAAGCTGCTCTCTTACGCGAAAGACAATGGTTTAAAGTTATTTCGTGTTTGACGCCATTCTGTTATAATGATGTCTTCTGGCATGCATCTAGGATTCAGAAGCGATGGTCGAGACCGAGTCGAGGCATGTCAAAGATGAATCGTAGAGTTTTCGGCCATGTAACTGCCGAATGTTGTAGGCATACAGAGTGCATCACCTTCGCTTACAGTCGATGTTTTAATCGGACCGATATAAGATTAGCGATGCACATTCCGCCTCGGACTTCTCACCTACCATTGCTCTGGACACCACCCATGGTCTAGTCACACAAAACGTTGTGAGACCTGCAATGCATGAATCTCTCGATTACCATTATTGAACCCGGTCGCTCTGGAATGGCCGTCGTTTCGCAGAGAGCTAGATATTTTGCTAGAAACTCACGACGATGGCGTCTCCTCGTAAGACAGAGAACTTCGCCGCCTGAGCCCCACGGTCTCTCAAAATAGATACGCACGAGTAACAAAGATGTCAATCGATGCTCTGAGGGGTCAATTTGTACTCCACTATTCATGTCCCCTATCATTTGTCTTCTCGGTTTTCACCGTTGATTCCGGATTGAGGGAAAAGTGTCTATTTGCCTCAATTTGCGGCTATGAACAAGAATAAGCCGCAGAATACTTTGTGTGAGGATGTAATTCAGAGTCCCAGATATAATCAAGAAAGTTTATTTTCTTTTTCGGATCTTGTTTGATTCCTTTCGATTTTATTAGCCACACCGCAGTTCCTATGCTTACCGTTTCCCTTTATATTTCTACCTAGAGAAGCTTCCATAGACTGAAGGACTTGTGGTCATATTCTACTCCGCTGAGAGTGCGCGAGGTTCTTCGTCACTAGGTCTCTCTCCTCACTATCCGTATACCCTGCCAGGGACCTCTGCAGCCTTCCGATACGCAAATTGTTAGTATTCACTTCCCGTTAGTAGACCCCTTTGTTCCTTGTTGCTGCCGGAGCTCTTGGATTGTCTCGGTCCTGATACATGGCACCATCCCTTTCAGGTACAAGAGAACTAACACGGAATTGTCACACATAGGTATTGCTTCTTGAGTATCGGCTTGAGTCAATAGCTCTCCTTGTGCTTCTTCCTTTCTGTCTTAACACATGGTGCCAAATTAAGACTTACAAGAGGCTCATGTCATTGAGTGTTCATCATGTATTGGAAACATACAATCACCGCAGCTGCCCTGCTTGCAGTGCCGGGGATCAGCTGGCCGTACGACGAAGCCCTCACGGACTATAATGTTAATGAGAACCAAACAGCAACCAACCCTCTAGAATACTGGGGAGAATGGCCCAATCATACCTACTTCCCCTCGCCGGACAATTGGCGCTTTCCTGTATATACGCTTTTCCTCGATCGATTTGTGAATGGTGATCCAACAAACGATAATATTAATGGGACCCTCTTTGAACATGATATCAGCTCGAATCAAATGCGACATGGTGGCGACGTTGCGGGTCTACTGGATACTCTGGACTACCTACAAGGAATGGGCATCAAAGTTGGTTTCACCCTTCCTTGATCTCACCTCCTTACTCAACTAATCCATTGCCTATAGGGCATCTATCTTGCAGGCCTGATTTTGATGAATCAGCCATGGGGCTCAGACGGCTATTCAGCACTTGACACCACACTCTTGGACCAACATTTTGGAACCATTGAGACGTGGAGGAATGCCATTACAGAGATCCACAACCGTGGGATGTATGTCATTTTTGACAACACCGTTGCCACGTAAGACCTAGGTTAAGTCGCGCCTTCCAGAATATTTGCTGATGATTTGCAGTATGGGTGATCTCATTGGGTTTGAAGGGTACATGAACACAACCACGCCCTTTTCCATGCAGGAGCACAAAGCATCTTGGAAATCAGACCGCCTCTACGTCGATTTCAGCTATGGCAACTCATATAACGAGACATGCGAATACCCTCGATTTTGGAACGAAACCGGCTACCCCGTGGACGAGTACGTTCTTAATGAGCTTGGTGGTTGCTACGATAGTGATTTCGATCAGTACGGTGACATCGAGGCTTTCGGTGTGTATCCTGACTGGCAACGAGAACTGGCCAAATTCGCATCTGTTCAAGACAGGTTACGTGAGTGGGTTCCTAGTGTCAGAGACAGACTGATTCGCCATTCTTGTATGATCATCGCCTCCTTCGACATCGATGGCTTCCGCTATGACAAAGCCACACAAGCTACTGTCGACGCTTTGGGAGATATTTCTGGTGCGTATCGTGATTGCGCTCGTCGCGTAGGAAAGCACAATTTCTTCCTTCCCGGTGAAGTAACGAGTGGGAACACGCTAGGCTCTATTTTCCACGGGCGAGGTCGACAACCTGATATGCAACCGGAGACGCTGGAGGAGGCATTCAAAATGACTAATTCTTCTGATCCGGCCTACTTCATCCGCGATCAAAACCAGCAGGCCATAGATGCAGCAGCATTTCATTATTCGGTCTATCGCTCTCTCACCCGCTTCCTCGGTATGGACGGCAATTTGGCTGCCGGCTACGATGTGCCGGTTAAATGGACAGAGGCCTGGTATCAGATGGTCCTCACCAATGATATGATCAATGCCAACACGGGCAAGTTTGATCCTCGCCATATGTACGGAGCCACGAATCAAGACGTGTTCCGTTGGCCAGCAGTGGAGTATGGGGTTGAACGACAGCTTTTGGCCCTGTTCATTACCACATTGCACATGCCTGGCATTCCCTTGCTCCTATGGGGAGAAGAGCAGGCATTCTATATCTTGGATGCTTCAGCCGCTAATTATATCTACGGTCGTCAAGCTATGTCTCCTGCCTCTGCGTGGAGATTCCACGGTTGTTTCCAGCTGAACTCCACTCAATATTTTCAGTGGCCTATCAAGTCCGGACGGTTAGGTTGTACCGATGAGACAGTCACATATGATCATCGTGATCCAGCTCACCCTGTGAGGAATATCATCAGACACATGTATCAAATGCGACAGGATTTCGGTGCATTGAACGATGGATGGTGGGTTCAATTGCTTTCCAATCAAACCCATAACATATATCTCCCGGGGTCAAATGGAGTACCCACCGAGACTGGAATGTGGTCTGTTTTGCGCAGTCCATACTATCAGATGCAAGACCTCGGAGAAATAGGCAACCAGACTGTGTGGCTTGTCTATCAAAATAGTCACCGCACCGTGGACTATAAGTTTGATTGCTCTGATCAAAATGCTGCTCTTATCGCTCCATTTGATGTCAACACTACAGTCAAGAATCTCTTCTATCCACATGATGAGATCACTCTTCAAAAGAGTCCAATTAAACTCGGTCTGAATGGCTCGATCAAATATAACGGTTGTCTCCACACAATGACCATGAAACCATACGAGTTCAGGGCCTATATCCCCAAAGAGAGATTCCTTTCTCCTCACCCTATGATCACCAAGTTCTTGCCGGGCCATGATGTCCCCTTGCTGTCCGCAGTATCTCCTGGAGTAAGTGAATCGATGGAAGTCAGCCTGTTTTTTAACACCGAGATGAATTGTACTATGGTGACCGACTCAATATCACTCGAGTCGAAAACCGAAACCGGGGATGTGCCTTCGCTGGACCTTGACAGCGTCACTTGTGAAACATTGGAGGCCGAGAGTATCACTTGGACAGGCCAAATCCCATCCACTTGGGCTTGGAGAGCTAGCCTGACTGGGGTATACAACGGTGTGCATCGTCTAACTGTCAAAAATGCCACAACGACCGATGGACGAAAAACCAACGCTGTCGACCATTTCCTAATTCGAATCGGACAACAAGACAATCCGATGATATTCGCGTCCGCAAACTACTCCCGCAGTCTGCTTCATGAACGTAAAAATGGCACTCTGTTCATCAGACAACATGCCGCTGGTGCCGACAAATACCGATACTCAACCAACTGGGGTACCACATTCTCAAAATGGCTGCCATATCAAGGAGGAAACCACAGCATTGAGGAGCTAACCTGGTCTGGGACAAAAAAGCAGAGATGGGAAGGTAAACACGTTCGCGTCGAGTACTGGAGTCGATTCACAGGCAGCAGCGACTACGTGCAAGAGGGTGATGGCCCAGGCTGGAACCCTGCTATCCAACGTCGATTCCCCCATTTATTCTTCAATGGCCCATTCAACGAATATGGATACGATGCCGGTCTAGACAATGTCGTGAGGCAAGATGACGATGGTATCTGGAAGTTTCGCTTCATGGCGGAGTGGCCTGCGCATGGCCAGTTGAATGTTTGGGGCATCAACCCTGATGGCCAGCCAGATCAAAGCTATATCTATGGGGACTCTAACGGAGACTCAATTCTCGATCGTCTCCCACCCTCTTCCTTGAGTGTGACGAGCATAAACATCACTCGTCACCCCCCCAATCCCCACCTCGCTTGGAGAATTCACCTGGATGACTCAAACTTGCAGTTCAAGCTTGTTCCTGCAGGCTCCAAATACACCCAAATGACACTCTTCTTCTTGCTGTGGATTTTCCCTTTGGTCACAGCACCGACCTGTGCCTATGTTTTCATGAAGACATTCTACCGGGTTCAGTTCAACCAGGTTGGCGTAAGTGAGAAGAAGACACTTATTTCCATGGACTTCGTCAGTAGGTTTAAGATCCCACCTTTAGAAAGCGGCCAACCCAGAAACCCTCTGATACGCCTTGCCAACAAGTCAAAGTTCCTCCAGAGTAGTTCTGCTTTCGGCAATCGAGCATCGCATCGACGAAAGGTTCTCATCGCCACGATGGAATACGACATCGACGACTGGGCCATCAAGATCAAAGTCGGCGGCTTGGGGGTGATGGCACAGCTAATGGGCAAGCAACTCGGTCACCAAGACTTGATCTGGGTCATCCCATGTGTTGGTGGCGTGGACTACCCTATAGAAAAACCGGCCGACTCGATGTTCGTTATGATCCTAGGAAACCCCTACGAGATCAAGATTCAATATCATCAGTTGAGGAATATCACCTACGTTCTTCTGGATGCCCCGGTCTTCCGACAACAATCCATCACAGAACCTTACCCAGCCCGCATGGATGACCTCGACAGCGCCATCTATTATTCGGCCTGGAATCAATGCATAGCCCAAACACTGGAGCGATTTCCCGTTGACATGTATCATATCAATGATTATCACGGCTCAGTGGCTCCTTTGTATCTGCTACCCGAGACTATCCCGATTTGCCTGTCACTCCACAATGCCGAATTTCAAGGTTTATGGCCTATGCGGACACAGAAGGAGAAGACTGAGGTGTGCTCAGTCTTCAATCTAGATCTCGACGTTGCCACGCGCTACGTTCAGTTCGGCGAGGTCTTCAACCTACTGCATGCTGGTGCAAGCTATCTTCGTCTTCATCAGCAAGGCTTCGGAGCAGTAGGCGTCTCAAAGAAGTACGGCAAACGTTCTTATGCTCGCTATCCAATTTTCTGGGGCTTGCGAAAAGTTGGCAATCTCCCGAACCCTGACCCTTCCGACACTGGCGAATGGAATCGAGAATTGCCGAAAGAAAGCGACATCGATGTCGATCATGAATATGAGACTTGTAGAGCAGAGCTCAAGCGTCAGGCTCAAGAGTGGGCTGGTCTAGAACAGAGGCCTAATGCCGATTTATTGGTTTTTGTTGGAAGATGGTCCATGCAAAAGGGAATCGATCTGATCGCCGACGTGCTACCTAGTGTTTTAGAGACACGGCCAGATGTTCAACTTATTTGCATCGGACCTCTGATTGACCTGTACGGCAAATTTGCTGCATTAAAATTGGACCGAATGATGAAGCTATATCCTGGCCGGGTGTACTCCAAACCTCAATTCACAGTTCTACCACCCTTTATCTTCTCGGGGGCCGAGTTTGCATTGATACCTTCGCGAGATGAGCCCTTTGGCCTAGTCGCGGTCGAATTTGGAAGGAAAGGTGCCCTTGGCATTGGTGCGAGGGTAGGTGGGCTTGGACAGATGCCAGGGTGGTGGTATACAGTCGAATCCACAACCACCTCACATTTGCTTAAGCAGTTTAAGCTCGCCATTGACAGTGCGTTGAGTTCCAAACCCGAGGTGAGAGCAATAATGCGCGCAAGGTCAGCCAAACAACGTTTTCCGGTTGCCCAGTGGGTTGAGGATCTGGAGATTCTTCAATCAACATCCATCCGAGTCCATGATAAGGAACGCGCCAAGGCTCATAGCCATTATACTGCTGCGGGTGCATACAATGCCATCTACGGAATGATGACTCCACAGGCTGCATCTACAAGATCAGGTGCATCGACGCCTCCAATGCAACCATCAAGTCGTCCAGGAACAATGGGATCGCTTCAGCGAAGCTCCATCATTTACAGTCGTGACCCGAGTCCAGGAGCCGATTCCAGACCCAGGTCAGGACTGATTCGCCAGATTAATTTCGGTGTTCGACCAGTTTCGAGTAGTACCGAGCCTCGTGGCAGACGCGAGCTCGGGAAGGGGAATGTTGTTGAGCGTGATGACAGCACCGGTCGAGCATCTCCAGAGGCTGAAGAAGATAGCGATGAGGAATTGATGGTGACATGCTATGGGGATGATGATTTTCCCATGTCGTCTGACAAAACGGATGCAGGGCGTGGACAGCATCCTCAATCCCCCGGCGTTGCGCTGACCACGGAAGCTCTCTCAGCACGCCAGTTGGTTCGATCTAGCAACACACCGTCGAGCTCGACAGCCCCAAGTACGGCTGGAACAGATGATACTCTTACTCCACCTTCACGGCCGTGGGCTGGGCCGGGGAGTCGATTGAGTAGTTCTTCTGTGCTGTCTGTTGATTTAGTCATTGGAGAGAAAAAGGATTTCAAGCTTCAAAAGGTGGACCCCTTCTTCACAGATAGAAACGGCGAATACTACAAAGTGTTCGAAAAGAGACTCGAGGACCTAAATGGAGTAAACTCCGACAATCAACTCTGCATTGAGCAATATCTCGAGAAGAGCGAAAAGAAGTGGTTCAATAAATTCCGCGATGCACGCCTGGGTCTCAATCAAGGCTCTCCAACTGGTTCAATGCACGGTGGCAAAAGAGGTTCCCCGACTGGATCTATCACTAACGATGATGCAACATCTCACGAGAGTGGTATGCCCGAAAGGAAAGACAGTCCGCCAGATGAATTCATGCTCGGTGATAACTACGTGCCACCCACAGGCCTAAAGAAGTGGATGCAAATGCGTCTTGGAGAATGGCCTGTCTATTCTCTCTTTCTGGGATTGGGCCAGATCATTGCAGCCAATTCCTACCAGGTCACCCTTCTAACGGGAGAGGTGGGCCAGACGCCTGCAAAGTTATATGGAATCGCATCCGTGTATTTGATCACCTCGATTCTGTGGTGGTTCTTCTTTCGTTTCTGCAAATCGGTGCACGTTCTAACTCTTCCATGGTTCTTATACGGAATTGCGTTTATGATTATCGGAATGGCTCACTTCGAGCCTAATTCATACATTCGTGGTTGGATCCAGAACGTTGGAAGTGGAATCTATGCTGCGGCTTCTTCGAGTGGTTCAATCTTTTTCGCTCTCAATTTCGGTGATGAGAGTGGTGCCCCTGTCAAGCAGTGGGTGTTCCGAGCTTGCCTTATTCAAGGCACTCAGCAGGCATATGTCATTGCTCTTTGGTACTGGGGCTCGACTTTGACGAAAGCTAGTGCTGGAAATACCACTTCTCAAGGTAGTATCACCAATACCTGGAGAATGACGTGCGTGTCTTATTTTCTTCACTTTAACCGACGAATGATTGCTGACACGCATCCTAGAGCTATCTGCACACCCATCACGATATTCTTGTGGAGTATCGGCTTGTTTATCTACTTTGGTCTGCCAAATTACTACCGCCAAACACCAGGCAAGGTCCCATCATTCTACAAATCTGTCTTCCGACGCAAGATCGTACTCTGGAATTGGACTGTGGTCATTCTCCAAAACTTCTTCCTCAGTGCCCCATATGGTCGAAACTGGAACTGTGAGCCCCCGTAGCCCAACAACACCCCTTCCTTTCCCAACTAACATCCACAACAGTCCTCTGGATATCCAAACACGCCAGCGCCTGGCAAATCCTCCTCCTCTGCGTACTCTTCTTTGGCTTCGTCTGGATAGCAATTCTCTTCCTCCTAGCCAGACTATCAAAATCCCACAGCTGGATCCTACCAGTAGTAGCCTGCGGTCTAGGCGCACCTCGTTGGGCCCAGATATGGTGGGGAACATCTTCGTCTGGTCTATTCCTCCCGTGGGCTGGAAGCTACACAGCAGGAGCATTAGTCTCACGAAGTCTTTGGCTCTGGCTGGGTGTCCTAGATGCACTGCAAGGCCTCGGATTTGGAATGATTCTCCTGCAAACACTGACGCGCATGCATATCTGCTTCACCCTTCTTGTGTCGCAAGTTATTGGTTCCATTGCGACTATGTGTGCTCGATCCATTGCGCCGAATAAGATTGGTCCTGGGCCTATTTCTCCTGATATCACTGCTGGGGTTGGGGCGTTAGCGAATGCTTGGTTTTGGGTTGCGCTTTTGTTGCAGCTTTTGATTTGGTATGCTCTGCCCACTATTCTTGTTCGGAATTTGTTTGACGTACTAATATTTTGCTATCTGCAGTTGCGGCTTCCTTATGTTCTTTCGGCGGGAGCAGCTTTCGAAGCCTTGATGGAATTTATTTCTTGTTTGTTGGCTGTTGGGTGCAAACGAGTAATTTAATAAGGACTATCACCTGGAGAGGCTAACTCTCCTTGCCTCTATTGACTCTTGATGCTGTTTTTATGTGTTGAAACTTTACGTCGAACAGACTCGGCTGCTTACCATTTAAATTTAATAATATCACGTTGCTGCGTAGGAAGCCAAGAGTATAATATGTGCCCTGATAGGTTAGTCGGGAATTGACTGTACAGTATTTGATGTACCTGATGCTCAATCTCCTATCGGTCAAGCCATTGATGAATTATGATGAAGCTTGAAAAGTCAAATAGGTGAGTGATCATGACAAGGCGGCAGTGGTTGTGGTAACTTGATACATTCAACGGCGGCCCCAAACTTCCGTACTTGATTCTTATCATATCGACGTGATGAGATTTTTGGTTATTTTAGCTACAACCTTAACTTAATTTGGCCTGTGGCTTCTTTTAGATCTACTTGAACCTCTCATTTACCCTTACTTTACCCTCACTTTTCTTTTTACTTTTCCTCTCAGCCTACCTCTTACTTTCTATTATACTGTAGATAAATACTAGCTATGTTATTAGTTTAGGGATTATCTTAAGCTCTATATTCTAGTCAAGTTCAAATACTTTATAGCACTTTGTGTATATCTATAACCTTAATCATAGCCCATAGGATATAAGAGACCGAGACCTAACCGCTAAACCGAAGCAAAATCTTCTCCCCCTCAACCCGGGAATTAAACCACTGCTTACGTCGAATATATCTGTCACCCACAATACTCGATCCGCGAAGCAAATCCGCTTCAACAACCTTAAGAATGGCCATAGTAACTTCCAAAGTACCCAAATTCTGCGCAATACATCCCCTGCTGCCCTTCCCAAACGCAAAGAAATGATTCAACATCTCGTTGGTCGGCTGCAGCCAGCGTTCGGGCATGAATCGCAACGGCTCCGGGAAAGCATCTTCATCTTGATGTAGCTGGAAAGAAGAAACGCCAACACTCGTTCCGGCTGGAAAGTAGTATTTCTGATACTTCCATCCCCCAGTCGGGACTTCCCGTGGAAGTCGAATGGGATTCGCCCAGGACAGACGTAGTCCTTCGCGGACCGTCCCCCGAAGATAGCCGCACGATGCAGGGTCTTCTCCCTTTGCGACTGTGCTTTGAACTTCCTCGTAGAGCCGGTTATATCTGGATGATGGTGAGATTTGCTAGTTTGGGTCATGATTCGCGCGGGCATACTTACATATCAGGGTTCTTTGCAAGAAACCATAATATCGTAGCCGTGTTCATACTCGTCGAATCCGTCCCAGCAAAGGAAACATCTTTCACCTCAATCTGGGCTTGTGAAACACACTGTTTTTCCAGCAGTCTGCTCTGATAACTTACACTTTTAGGCGATACATCTTTTGCCAGCGTTGCACCTTCCATAAGCTTCCCAGTGAACTTATCCATAAGGTCAAATGCCCTCTCAGTAGTCTCGGTCGACATAAGCTTTTCAGCAATCGCCATAACGAAATCCGTCATTCTCCCAGGAGTAAAATTAAAGAAAGCCCCAACCCCAACAAAAGCATCCACAAAAGGCGACGCAGACATAACCCCCGACTCCTCATTCAGAGCCCCATATCCATGCTGAAAGAGATAAGTACTCACAGCATCAATAGCCATACAACGCGAAATATTGAGCACATCAACAGGGCCCCCCTTCCCAGCCTCCCGCTTTAAACGGCCAACAAAATCATCAAAGACAGTGAGCAATTCCTCCTCCGACTGTCTAATCGAAGCAGTCGAAAAAAGCGGCGCAACAGCTTTAGCCCTGCTCGCACGCTCCGGCAACGTCAAAGTCGAGAAAATGGTTTTGTGTCCATCGATATCAAATTTCGAATAAGCTTTCGCCTTGGCGAATCCACCGCGGGCGATGTATATTGGTTCGATAGCGTCTGCACTTGCGATATCGATATCATTTGGCGCGACGCGTAGTACCGGACCGTGTTTTTGGTGGAGTTTGAATATTACTGTGCATTCATCGCCAATGTAGGTGTGGTATGCTAGCCAGAGGGAAGTAACGGCTGCGATCTTCGGGCCTGGGGTTTGGGACAGGGGGTGGAGATAGAGACGGTAGATCCACTTGCTTGTTAGGCTGGCTATTGCTAGTGATAGGAGCCATGAGGCAATGGTCGGGATGGATATGGGGAGTGATATTAGGGCCATTTTTGCTGGGCGGAGTTTTTGGTCTGGCGTGATATTTAAACCTTTCCTTGTTGGCAAATCGGAGGCCTTTCACCTATCTCTTGTCGGGTGGGCCGAAGGAATGTGAGTAGCGGGGTTGCTAGTTGAAGGTGGTGATTCTATTGTTTTTGACATTCACAGAAAGACAAAAGAGAGGTGAAATGAAGATGCAAAGCAAGGAACGGAAATAGAAGTTTAAAAAGAAACAAAAGTCCAGCAACAGCCATGTAACGTGACTCGGGCAGCAAGCTTGGGAAGTCGGTGTTTCCGATGAAATGTTATCTCGATCAACCTTGAAAGATAACAGGCGACTTCAACGAGATCACAATCTATAACTTATATTTCCCCCAGTCACTCACAATGGCCGACAATCACCCTATCCCGCATCATAACAATGGCAGCAAAAGAGGCATTCAACGCCTCAACAACCGAGGATGTCGCCCTCGAACACATGGGCTACCAACAAGAATTCAAGCGCTCATTCGGACTATTAGACATGGTTGGATTCAGCTTCAGCATCGTAACATGCTGGACAGCTCTAAGCGGAGTATTCATCATCGGCGTCGGAGCAGGCGGTCCACCAGTGATGATCTTCGGCTGGATAGGAGTCTGCATATTCACCATCTTTATCGCACTAGCCATGGCTGAGATGTGTTCGCGCTGGCCGGTGGCTGGTGGTCAATACTCGTGGGTTGCGATGCTAGCACCGCCGCGAGTATCAAGGCAATTGTCTTATATCACCGGCTGGTTTATGCTGATTGGTATATACATACCTCCCACCTTATTTGCAGCTGCACATCTTGCTAATTCTTTATAGGAATCCTAGCAATGGGTGCAGTAAACAACTCAGTCGGTTCAAACTACATCCTAGGTCAAGCAAATTTAATCTTCCCAGACTTCGTCATCGAAAGATGGCACGCAGTGCTAGTCGCCTGGGCCATAGGCTTATTCGCGTTGGCAGTGAATATCTTTGCGCCGCACGCTTTGCATCGTCTCTCACGGATAATCCTCCTATGGAACATCGCCTCGTTCATAATCGTGATCATAACCCTGCTAGCAACGAACAAGCAAAAGCAACCCGCAAGCTTCGTCTTCCACGATTTCCGAAATATGACCGGTTTAGGCACGGCGATGGCGACCATAGTCGGCATCCTGCAATCCTTCTTTGGGATGTGCTGCTACGACGCACCGAGTCATATGACAGAAGAGATGACGCATGCCAGTCGCGATGCGCCTAGGGCAATTATCCTCTCTGTGATCATGGGCGCCGTGACGGGGTTTGTGTTCCTGCTTACGCTTTGCTTTTGTATGGGTGATATTGGGAGCACGGCTGGATCGAGTACTGGTGTTCCTGTTATTCAGATCTTTTATGATTCTACGCGGAGTACAGTTGGGACTTGTTTTTTGGCGACTTTGATTACTGTGATTGTTATTGTTGCTTCTGTTAGTCTTGTTGCTGAGGGGTCACGGTCTGTTTATGCTTTTGCTAGGGATCATGGATTGCCGTTCTCGGGGTTGTGGGCGAGGGTTGAGCCTAGGAGAAAGATTCCCCTTTATTCTATTGTTCTTACGTTGGTTGTGCAGCTTGCTTTGAATGCTATTTATTTTGGGACGGTGACGGGGTTTGATACGATTGTTTCCTTGGCTACGACGGGATTCTGTGGGTGGTGATACCCTCCATGTGGTGATCAAAAGCTAACAGTTCGGATTAGATGTTTCGTACGGGCTTGCCCTGTTTTCCCGGCTATTGGGCTATTTCTTCGGCTATCGAACCTCCTCTTTCGAGGGATCATTTTCCCTACCTCTTTCATTATCCCTCAGCTTCAATGCCATCGGCTTAGTATTCCTGTTGTTTGCATCTATTACATTCAACTTCCCGTCTGGGGCGCCGGTCACCTCGGATTCGATGAACTATACCAGTGCCGCGATCGGACTGGTGACAGTCCTGAGCTTCATAACCTGGTTCACTACCGCAAGGAAGCGCTTCACTGGGCCATCGGACGTTATGAACCTCGTTGTGGACGGTGTAGAAGGTCCATCGACGTTGGGGGCTGAGAACACTGGCTCAAAGAAGAGTACAGAAAGTAAATAAGTGATCATAAACGGTACAGTTGAATCTAAAGCTTTTGATGATAGTCCTACAAGGAAAGCAGATCCACGATCATAATTCATTCTCGTTGAAATTCGTAGACTTAGATTAAACCAACAACCGAAAGGCGTTGTCGCAAATAATAGGGGAATATGTTTTTTGATATCCAAACAATGTAAAGCCAGCACCAAAAATCAAACACAGGCACACTTGTAAAAGCGCCCATTTTATAAAAAAAAAACACAAGAACAAGTTTACCACTCGAGGGGCTCGTTCTTGACATCACCGCGGTTGGTCTTGGGAACAGGGGCAGCCTCAACCATGGTGGCGCCACGGCGGTCACGGCGGAGGTAGCCGCTGCCATCCAGCCAGGGGGTGTCGAGGGTACGCTTAGCCTCGAAGGTGCGGATCTTGCTCTCCATCTGGAGGGTCAGACCAATGTCATCAAGACCGTTGACGAGGCAGTGCTTGCGGAAGCCGTCGACGTCGAAGGAGACGATCTTGTTGCCCTGGGCGTCCTTGACCTCCTGGTTGACGAGGTCGACTTCGACTTCGCGGCCGGCGCGGGCCTCTTCGGCGATCTTCTGAAGGGCGGCTTCGTCGGAGACAACGACGGGCAGCATGCCGTTCTTGAAGGTGTTGTTGAAGAAGATATCGGCGAATGAGGGGGCGATGATGCACTTGATGCCGAAGTCGAGGAGAGCCCAGGGGGCATGCTCACGCGAGCTACCACATCCGAAGTTGGGGCCTGTGACAACGAGGATCTTGGCATTGCGGTAGATGCCCTGGTTAAGGATGAAGTCAGGGTTCTCCTTGTCGTCAGTGTAACGGAGCTCATAGAAGAGGGCGGAGCCAAGACCGGTACGCTTAATGGTCTTGAGGAACTGTTTAGGAATGATGGCATCGGTGTCGACGTTGGCACGGTCCAGAGGGGCGGTGATCCCCTTCAGGGTGGTGAACTTGGGGAGACCAGTACTGCTACCACCGCCAGCGGAGGAGTTGGTGTGGGGCTCGTTGTCAGCGGGCTGGTCGAGGACACGGTCGAGCTCATCCTCAGTCTCGGGAGAGTCGACCTCGGGCTGGACATCGATCTTGGGAGAGGCCTTGGCGAGGACGGGGCTGGGGACACTGTGCTCACGGACATCGGCGAGCTTACCGACGAGAGCAGCAGTGGCGGCCATAGCGGGGGACATCAGGTGGGTACGACCCTGGGCACCCTGGCGACCCTCGAAATTACGGTTTGAAGTACTGGCACAGCGCTCCTTGGGGGAGAGGATATCCGGGTTCATACCCAGGCACATAGAGCAACCAGCCTCACGCCATTCGAAGCCGGAGTCGGTGAAGATCTTGTCAAGACCCTCGGACTCGGCCTGCTCCTTGACCAGACCGGATCCGGGAACGATCATGGCGCGCTTAATGTTGGAGGCGATCTTACGGCCCTTGACCACCTTGGCGGCGGCACGCAGATCCTCAATACGGGCGTTTGTGCAAGATCCGATGAAGACCTTGTCGACAACGACATCCTTCATGGGGGTACCAGCGGTGAGGCCCATGTACTCCAGAGCGCGCTTGCAGGAAAGCTTGCGGTTCTCATCCTCGAAGTCATCTGGGCCGGGAACAACACCGGTGATGGGAACAACGTCCTGGGGAGAGGTACCCCAGGAGATGGTAGGGACGATATCCTTGCCGTCCAGGAAAACCTCGATGTCGTATTTGGCCTCGGGGTCAGACTTTAGGCCGGACCAGTAGGCGGTGGCCTTGTTCCACTCAGCGCTGCCGTACTTGGGGGCAAGGGGACGGCCCTTGAGATATTCGAAAGTGATCTCATCGGGGGCAATCATGCCGGCACGAGCACCACCCTCAATGGACATGTTGCACATGGACATACGGGCCTCCATGCTCAGACCGCGGATGACGGATCCGCAGAACTCGATGACAGCACCGTTACCACCGGCGGTTCCAATAACACCGATAATGTGGAGGACAACGTCCTTGCTGGTGACACCGGCAGGGAGCTCGCCGTCGACCTGAACGCGCATGTTCTTGCTGCGGCGGGTAATGAGGGTCTGGGTAGCGAGGACGTGCTCGACTTCGCTGGTTCCGATACCGAAGGCGAGAGCACCGAAGGCACCGTGGGTGGAGGTGTGACTGTCACCGCAGACAACAGTTGTGCCGGGCAGGGTGAAACCCTGCTCGGGTCCAATAATGTGGACAATTCCCTGGCGCTTGTCACCCATACCGAAGTAGGTCAGACCGAAGTCTTTCACGTTCTGCTCCAGAGTTGTGCATTGGAGACGGGAGTCGTTCTCCTTGATGAATTCCGCGGCATTCTTGAAGCTTTTCCGTGAAGAAGTAGGGATGTTCTAAAGAGATCCATTGTTAGTTGCGAACTGCGCAGAATTGGATGAAACATACGTGGTCGACGGTAACCAGAGTGCAGTCCGGCCGGCGGACCTGGCGGCTGGCGTTTGTGAGACCCTCGAAGGCCTGAGGGGATGTGACCTCGTGAACAAGGTGACGGTCAATGTAAATCAGGCAAGTGCCATCTTCTTGCTCATTGACAATGTGGTCGGAGAAGACCTTGTCGTACAAGGTCTTGGGTTTTGACTCTGCGGAGGGCATGGTGGGGAGCTGAGAGGAAAGTAGAGAGGAAGAAGAAAATGAGGTAAATATGGAGTATAAGGGAATTGGATGACAGGTGCGCAGGGCTCGCTTTGTAAAGGACGAGAGGAGTATGGAGAACTGGGGATATGGAGTGACAGGACTACTGATATATTTTTCTGGACTGCAGAATCCGCGATGTCGCTGGGGAGCTTCTCGAGGGGCAAGGCCGATCTCGGCCGGTCAGCGGCGAATTGTTACATTGTGATTGGCTAATGTGGACACAAAGGGTAGCACCGATGTCGGTCGGCGTTGAATATTCTCAAAGGGGCAACGCGGCTAGTTGCGCTTGATGGCGGAGAATGAGACATGATATTTTATATGGAAGCTTTGTGTATTAGATCTGTAGAACTGAATTGGCTGGATGATTCTACTGATGATAGTTTATGCCATACTGTACATATGCACTGTCCAATATAAAGTCAAGCATAGTAAGCATAGTAAGCATATGCATGACCATGACGTACTCCGGGGCCTCATACTTGACCGACTCCGGGGGTCAATAATGAGGAATCGTCGATTGGCTGCGGACTCCGATCGGCCCACTGTGAGTCAATGCTAAGCCTCAAGCCTCGGTTGCTCTAGTCTCTCTCTCTAACTGATTTGGGCGATACTGTTGAATATTTGGTCAACTGTTTTTTTTTTGCAATATACTAGGTTTGAGGAGTCTAAGTGAATTTCTATACATACCAGCTCGCACTAAGACGAACTTGAATTAGAGACCTGGTCATTTTCTGTCATTTTCTGTACTTGGGAACGCCCAATGAGAGTTTTTTACATCAAGTCCTGAGCAATGAAGGCGCTTCAAAGATCTCATTGTACAGGACCAACAGTCTGTAGCTTTTGTATTGAAAGCCCAGATACATCGTATATAGCGACACTAGAAAGTGTAAATCTTTCGTAAGTACATTGAGTCAATCCATTACCATCTTCTTCCTCCTCCTCCTCCTCCTCCACCACGGCCACCCCTAGTAGTTCAGCTCGCCATGAGCAATCCATGAGCGTCTTCAGATCCTGGCAATGGGTTCTGCACGTTATTTCCATGGTAAAAGAGCCTTTCAGTGTATGCTGGCGTTTTCTACGACGAATTGATAGCCGAAAAGCCCGAGAACGTAGCAAGTAAGCATAAGAAGCCTCTTCAAGCTATCTTAGTATGAAATCAGCCCCTCTAATTCCGAATCGCATATTTGCCCTCGCATCGTTCAAATATACTTCTACCATCCTAGCAATCCTGGCGCACCCACTCGTTTGAGCAAATGCAAGAGGCTCAACCTTCTCCTGATTCCAACAAGCACTAGTCCACGATCCAAAATTAAAAAGACCCCCCCCCCCCCTTTGATTAGCAGCGTACATGTATCCACTTGATGATTCCAATTAGCAATTGTAAGTAGGCTCTGTGCTTCCATGATATCTATAGGAGAAATTCGAAGATCTCGACGCAGACCTGCTGGTGAGTATGGCGATGAATTGCCCCGAATCATTCTGATTTTCTCAAACAGGCCCTAATGTAACCGACACGGCCTGTTTCTACTGCGCAGAGGAGAAATGGGTTGTCGGTACACACCGAGGAAGGGAGAAAGTAGAAGGAAGATATCCTCTGTATGGAAGGGTCGAAGAGCAAAGCAGCTTGACAAAGTAGGGCAAATTCTCAAGTGCGGCCTGTTACGGCATTGATGGAACAATGGAAAAATGAAACAATCAAATGCGCATGTATTGTCATCATAATCATAGTCTAAAAAGAAATTCTAAGGTCATAATAATAACACCAGCTTCCACCATCCTAAGCCAAAGAAGCAGAAGCAAGATCAACAACAATCCTCTTACCAGAAACAGACCCACTCCTCAACGTCTCAAGCGCGCCATTAATCCCTTCAAGCCCCCCATCAGCCCTCACAATCTCAGGCAGCGTAAGATTAGTCGAATGCAACAAGTCCTCCAACCAACAAACCATAGCCTCACCAACCTTCGGAGCAGAATGGAAAAGCTTAATAGGAACAGTATGATACCGTATTCCCGAATTCCGCTCCTTGGGCAAACCAGTCAAACCAAGAAGATGGGCATGGCCATCAGGGTTGAGAGTCTTTTCAAGCGTTGCTGCCGTTTCGTTGCCGACAATGTCAATTGCGTAGCGGAGTTTGTTTTTTGTTACGCCGCGGATAATTTCTACTGCTCTGTTTTGGTCATGGCGGTCGATTAGGAGATCGGCGCCTGATGCGTGGAGTTTTGCGCCGTGGCGGGCTATATCAGCTATGCAGATTATGCGGAGGCCGGCTAGTTTTGCTAATTGGAGGGCTATTAGGCCTGTTGTTGTTGAGGCTGTTTATGATTAGTTGGTTAATTGGCTACTGTGAATAGTGATTTGCTGGACTTACCTCCCCAGATGGCGATCCATTCTCCTGGTTGTGGTTTCTCAGAGTCTAGGAAGGAGGCAAAGCATTCTTCTCTGATGTCGTCGGGGATATCATCTTTGTCAAGTTGATGGATGATGTTGAGTAAGTTGGGGCCAGGGGCCTTTTTGATGAGAGAGAAGTCGAGGCCGAATGACACACCTAGGGCTAGTGCGGCAGCGACATATGCGACTCCCACCGAGGAGGCGGCGTGGATGGATGTGGAGGCAGGAATTCGTGCAGCATTGAAATCTGTGGCGATGGCATATTCTTGGAATGCTGCTTTCCTAATGTCGCGATAGTCCGTTGATGGGACGAGGACGATATCTCCTACTTTGAGACGTGATGATCCCTTTGGGACTTGCAGGACGAGGCCCGCTAGATCACGTCCGTTGATCCATGGTAGGCTGGGGATACCAAAGTTAAATGCCCTAGTACTTTGAGTTAGTGTTTGGTTGGAAGAAGGGCTAGTGTAGATTGTGAAAGAATGGTACTTACGGTCCTTTCCAGTCGATAGGGTTGAGTCCGATTGCAAGAACCTGTAAGTTACCGATCAGCATCATGTATGGGTGTGTAAGGTACAGTAATATTGGAACTATCATACCTTCACAAGAATCTCTTCTTCATGTAGGACTGAGGGGATAGCATGGTCATCCACAAGGGAGTATTGTTCACGGGCTCCCTTCAAGAGAAGGACACTTTGCCTCGATGTTTCCGACCGCGGCGATGGAGGCTCACTTTCGGAAGTTGTATCATTTGTGAAGTCCGAGATTGACTGGGCAATGTCGTGATGGAAAGTAGTAGGAGTCTTTTTCAACTCATCGAGTTGGAGGTATGTAGAGGTAGTCGACATGATGCTGGGTGCTGATAGAGCCATTTCTAAGAGCAGGTCACAGGAAGATGCCAATGCCAATACTGGGCTCTATGTATATTCTATGTAGTACGCAGGATCTCTCGGGCGAGAACATAAGTGTACTCATTTTAGGCCTAGCATTGATATCAATCACTGAGCAAGCAGGTTGGGGTATCTCCACTTGATCTTGCTTATGGATCAATGAACTGATTTAGCCTCCTCTTTGCGCAATCGATCCGTACTCCCGCTCATCGCGGGGCATAGATGGCGTGATGGAGGATTGTAGTTGGACTGGGGTACTTGTAGATCACAAGTACCCATAATTATACCCAATTTGCCTGGAGATCTCGTAGTTCCTGGGGAAGGGACAGCATATTTGATTGACAATGGTATTATGGAATACAGGCCAAAAATATACGGCTCATTGCTTTGATTGTATCTTGTTATCACGGATTTCTGAATCGAAAGTTGGCAAGTCGGCAATCTTGATCGCGAAGTTTATTGCCAACTGATGTGATCTGCTGCACCGATGACGAAACTTGGTTTCAACACTTTTGGCCCAAATCGCGAATTTGCCATGTGTTTGCCAAGATATACATCAATCTAGCTTATTCAACCTATGTGTCCATTACTTATAGCCCAGTATACTAGAGAAGAAATATTTGAGTTTGCTGCTTAAGACGTTGCTGATTGACTTGGTGTAGCTCTTCCATTGTACACCATGTATAACCTGGGAATATCTAGTTAGATACAAAATACTGCTATATATTCATGTCTAACGTGAGCTTATAAGAGTATGGGGAAGCTTGTTCGGAATTATGATGCCTTGTCGTTGTCGTGTTCTCATGCCCTACGTGTCTAATCCTTAGAGCTACAATATGGATTCCTCTATATAATGAGCCACAAAGTATATTTATCTCCATTTCAAGCTCTTGTTCCCAGTTTAAAACATCTTTCAATCTAGATGCTAAGCTGTAGACTTTCAGTCGTGTTCAGGGCGCTCCGTGCGAGCACGTAATTCCAGCAATGAACGACAACATCCATTAACCCCAAGACTAGATCCATTTGGCACTAGACAGGGGTCTAAAAAGACATGGGAAGACGATAAAAGACTACGCGTGCTGTCATTCTGCGGAATAGATTATTCTTGGCTTTGATGCCGAGGGCTTTTAGCCGGAGGTACATAGATCTCTCACGGGTCCTATAATAAAGCTGCCAACCCCTGTCAATCACTTGGTCGCAATATTCCAAATCTGGAGTATCTATTTTCTTAACATGTCAAACTCCGAAAAAGGCGTGTCGCCGAACGATGAGGAGGTAAACAGTACCAGTGCAGGCTCCCTCACCTCTCCGGTTCTAGGACAACCACGAAAAGGTAAATCCAAAGAACAATCCCCTTCTCATTGACCTAACAAATTAAACAGTAAAATGGTACCGATCAACCTTCTACAACGCCCTAATCCTCGGCCTATGCAACTTCCTCGCACCAGGAATCTGGGGCGCAATGAATTCCCTCGGCGGCGGAGGCGAAGAAAACCCATATCTAGTGAACGCAGCAAACGCGCTAACATTCGGTCTAATGGTCGTATCCTGCTTCCTGGGCAGCGTGGTCGTCCGCTTCATCGGAATAAAATGGACACTCATCGTCGGAACAATTGGGTACGCACCCTACGCCGCAGGCCTATATACAAATAACCGATTCGGAGACGAGTGGCTGGTCATCTTGGGTGCAGCGTTATGTGGTATATCAGCGGGGATATTCTGGATGTCTGAGGCTGCTATTGCACTTTCTTATCCGGAGCCATATAACCAAGGTCGGTTCTTGGGGTTCTGGCTTAGTTTCCGTGTTGGGGGGCAGATTCTTGGTGGTGTTATCAATCTGGGTATTAATGCACATCGGTCTACATCCGGTTCCATCTCCTATACGGTTTACCTGGTTTTCATTGCGTTGCAGGCTCTTGGTCCTTTTGCTGGTTTGCTGTTGAGTACGCCGGCGCAAGTTCAGCGGAAGGACGGTATCCAGGTTCAGCTGCAGGTGAACAACAGTATTGGGTTTGAGTTGAAGAGCATGGTGAAACTCTTTGTCAGTCGGAAGTTCGCACTTATCATTCCTCTTGTTTGTCAGGCTGTCTATACTGAAGCTGTTATGTTCTCGTATGAAGGCTTGTGGTTCTCCGTGCGGGCTAGAGCTCTGGGTTCATTACTGTCTGGTGTTATCGCGTTGGTTATCGGGAATCTGCTTGGTGCTTTCCTTGATACGAAGAGGATGTATTTGAAGGCAAGGACGAGGTATGCTTTCTTCTTCGTTGTTGCCTGGCAGGGTATGTGCTGGACATGGGCGTCAGTCGTGACGACGGAATTCAATAAAACAAACCCAACATTTGACTGGACTGATCCTGGTTTCGGGAGAGCTTTTGCGCTTTTCCTATTTTGGGTTGCCGGTTTCCAGCTAAACTATATGTATCTGTGAGCTGTGATCCTGGTTTCTATCATTGGATCGTGTTAATTGACATTCAATAGATTCTTTTTGGTTGGAAACCTTGCGAATGATCAGGAGGAGGTTGTGCGGATTGCGGGTTTGTTGCGTGGGACTGAGTCGGCTGCTCAGTGTGTTAGTGTATGTATATTCCTCGTGGATGTGAGGGTGTGTACTAACTCTCTGCAGTACGGTCTCAGCAGTGTGAACATTATGGCTGCAGTGGGAAGTGTATATCTCAACTTTGGGCTATGGGCAATTGCAATCATCCCAGCCTGGCTCATTGTCAAGCAGGTTGGAGTAGCATTCGGTGACAAAAAGATTGACAGGGAGACCCATGTTTTGCGCGAAGGCTCAAACAATGAATGAACTAGAGTATTAGGACATTTGGCTGCAAGGAAACACACATGCATCTTTGTTCGTTTGATAAAATTCAGGATCAACCCTACTATTTCTGTCTAAATTATACACATCGGAATGATAATCTTTTGATAAGTCTGACTCTAACCTCCTCGTAACACATGACAGGTTCAAAGCTATGCGATGAAACCGAATTCACGGTTGTCGTGGTGGAACACGAGTAATGCAAGCCGATGTCGGACAAACAAACCGAGCATCCCGCAGAAAGTTTGCACTGCAACCATATGCCACGCCAGTTGGTCTTCTCTCATAGGGCCCATCCATACTAGCCAAAGGTTCAGAATGGTGAGGTTAGATGATTCCGTAATTCGGCCAGACTCATCTTCAATGACCCGCACTAGTTTTAGAGTGTGCAAGAGGCGCAGCCCAGCATCGACCAAAGGCGAGGGAGGTTCGGTCCACTCTGTGACAGAAGCGTCCAGGAGCCCAGTGGAGGCGCTGAATTTTGGAAGTCGGTGGCGAGGACAGGGGATCAGCTTGAATAACTGAGGTGTCGAGTACAAAAAGTTGAAGATTTGTGGGATAAAAAGCAGCAATAAGGTTTTGCTGAAATGCCCTAAGATACCAACCACGGCAAATACCATTCCGGCAAAGTAGCAGTAGGTATCTCCCACAAAGACCTTTGATGGATACCAATTGTGACATAGAAGAGCTGCCGAGACTCCAATAAATGGGAGCAAGAAGTAAATTGACAACAAATGGGAGTCGGTGGCGGGGTGCGGGTATGGCGTAACAGGTGCCAGGTACATTGCATCATTGAACAAGAGTTGAACAGCAATAACCAGTGATTGGGCAACCTCAATACCATTGATACCTGCCAGCATGTTGATGGAATTTGGACAGAAGATTGCCACGGCTGCCATGTACATGTAGTACAGCCATCCCAGTTCAACAACGTCACCCAGGTAGGGTTGCAACGGCACCGGAACGACGACTTGCGTGACGCCAAAGTCAACGAAATACACTATCAGCATGGGGATGGAGGAGAAAGCAGGGATTAGGACTTTGTGTCTCCAGCGAATATCGAACAGGTCATCGCCGATGCCGAGAATCACAACAGATTGCAAAGACAAAAGACCAGAGAGATAAGATGCGAGCTATACAATAAATCAGCATGGTCAGGAATAATACCGAACATAATCTACCTTTCCATGCGGGAAACGGTGCAGGTATCGACCGTTTTCAACATGCTGTGTTTCAATCACAACGTCGCGGTTTCCGCCGCCAGATGTGGCTGCCACGATATCCTTGTAGAAGGCAAACGGAATGAAAATAATCAATGCCATCAGATACACCACGGCGCAGACTGCTCCCATGGTCTCAGGACTTTGTTCATATATTAGCGATTGTGATCGATCAACTTCTCAATAGTCACATACATCTCGGGCCGTCTTGGCTTTGCCATGTCTTTTCCCTTTAGACCTGCTTTCAGAAACACCGGTCCAAGCCATTTTATCAAGCTGAAGGCCGCTGCAAACACAATGCCAACCATAGCAATTGAAGCCATTAGAGGCGCACCATCATCCTGGAACGTCGCGTACAGGATCGATACACCGGCCCCCACAAGAGCTAGTAGACTCCATTTCTCTGTGCGTGACAGCGCACTTGAGGTAGACATGAGGAAGATGAAAGGAACAAAGTTCCTCTTTGACAGAAAATTCCAACAATTGGATCTCAAGAAAGTCCACGTCGGCGACGCGCAATCTGTTCAATACTAAGCTTATCGTGTTCTGCCGGTAATATTAGACCGCCCTAGGGCGGTGTCAGCCACCCGTGATGCTTGCGGCCAAAAAAGGAAAGGCGAACATCTGTTTCATATCTCATACCTGCAGATGCATAGATTCATAATCATCATTGGCTCTTTCTAACTCCCATACTCAACTGACCTGACTCGATGGGGGCAGTGGAGCGCCCCGAGATAACCGGATTTGCCGACTTCGATGCGGGCCATCGGGATCTGGTTACCGTCACCAGATTTAACTTCTATGGCAACCGTATTGTCACAGCTTCGTCTGATCACCGCATGAAAGTGTGGGATCTTAAAGATGGCCAATGGCAACTGATAGACACCTGGCGCGCCCACGACGCCGAGATACGCGATGTACGTCTCCAAACAAACACGTCAAGGACGTGTATTGGACCTCAGTGGCTAAATTACGATACAGGCAAATTGGAATGGACCATTTACAGGCCAGCATATCGGTAGTGTCGGCGAAGACATGAAGTTAAAACTCTGGCAAGAAGACGTAACCCAGCCACCAAACTCGGGACGGCGTTTCAGGTGTATCTTCCGTCTGACCGCGCCGGAAAGACATCCATTTGTGTCACTTGACTTCCGCAACATTGACCTGGAGTCATGGATGGCTGCGATTACACGCGATGGGTACCTGATGGTTTTGGAACCCACCAGCCCTGATACTCTGGCCGATTGGCAGACAATTGACCAATTCCGAGTGTGTACTGCTCCCGAACGTGGGGAGGAGACAAGTTTCAAGGTCCAGTTTCATCATGATCCAACCGATATCACTCATACTGTCTCGCCAGACTCCGATCGGAAAAGTATGTCATTGGTTGTGGCGGCGATGGATACGGTCAAAATCTACCGCACTGATTCAAACCGCCAATTCTACCATGCAATCGAGTTGAATGGGCACAGCGGGCTTGTGAGAGATATTTCTTGGGCCAATGGCTCTGTTCGTGGCTATGATCTCATTGCAAGCGGTGGGAAGGATGGCTTGGTCCGCATTTTTGAGGTTTACACAACGCCAGCCAGTCAAGCATCGCAGAACAATAACACCCAAAAGGCCGAGCATCGCGTTCAATCCCCTTCGGCTCGGGCCAAGTCGCAGTCTGGAATCGGCTCTGCTTTGGCGAACCGTGTGCCTGCGTCGCAGACTGACCGTCGGGCTAGTGGGGACTCCCAGTTCAGACATTCGTTCAAACAGGTAGCTTGCATCGATACTAAACACCTCGATGTATGGCAGGTCCAATTCTCATTCTCTGGTGGGTGTTCAATCTTCTCTTCTGTGCCAATTCATTGACTAATATCCTGTAGGTGACTCGCTGATTTCCTCTGGAGATGACGGGACGGTCCGGTTCTGGAAAAGAGCACTGTCGGGCGAATGGCTCGAGTTCGCTGAAACAGATATGGTGTGCCAGTGATCTTCTTTACACAATTGTTCGTGAAGACATGATTTGATATTCTTCATCTATGCGCTGTTTCTTACTCCCTGTTGGCTCTCCTCAACTTTCCATTCATCTTCTATCAATGATACCCTTTACATTTGATTTCTGTATAACCCTGTGTTTAATTGGTAATTGCTAGTGCTATTTAGTTCTAAATCCATGATGTTTTGTTTTGACATGAGGAAAGCGCCATGGCGTGGTTGGCCCCCGACCACTTCCCTGGTATAGTTCTCGAGAACCTCAACCTTCTCCTCTCACAACCTACAACCCTTTATTATCTATATGCATTGTTAACCCACAATGGCTGTCGGTGCAACCATCGGCACCGGCCTGTTCATTGGCGCGGGCCAGGCTCTCGCCGTCGGCGGACCTGCCTCCCTTCTCGTGTCCTATATTATAATGTCCTTCCTCACATTTGCCATGACCACGAGTATGGCAGAGGTGTCTACACACATACCCTCACCATATGGAACCCTCATCACCCACAGTTACCTGTACATGTCAAGCAGCGTGGCATTCGCCTCATCATACCTCCGCTGGTACACCCTTGCACTGTTCGTCCCGTACGAGATCACAACGGCAATGGTCAACCTTGGCCTTTCCAAGCCAGGCACCACGATCGCTATCCGCTTGGCCATTATCACAACCATCATTGTTGGCTTCAATTTCTTGCCGGACAGGCTGTTCAAAAGCTCCGAGCGATTGTTCACTTCTATCAAGATTAGTACAATGGCGACCTTCTTCGTTTTAGCCTTGGCCATTGGTCTTGGTGGTGTCGATGGGCACACTCACTGGGCATTCAAGTACTGGAAACATCCAGGTGCCATGAATGAGTACATTTTTCACGGATTGTGGGGGCGAGTTCTTGGGTTCTTTCAATGCCTGCTTGATGCCTCCATTGCCTTTACCTTTGCCCCCGAGCTGATTGTGCATCACGCCGAAATGCCTGCATCGGTCGGCCAGTCAACACTTCTGAGTACAGCTATTCCAGGCAGGGTTTCGTCCGATGTTTTCCAAACCGCCTTCCCGTATATTATGAGTTCCTTGGCTATGGGCATCATGGCACCATTCAACGACACCCGCTTGACCAACAATGGAACAGGCTCTGGGCTGTCGCCATTCATGATCGGATTCAAAGATGCTAACATTCAAATTATACCTACCCTTGCGACGGTCGCAATCCTGCTCTCCTCGGTGGCTTCGGGCCGATCGTTTCTGTACCTCTCATCTCGCACTTTGTGTGCCATGTCAGAGCAAGGTCATGCTCCTTCGGTTTTTTCGATTCGCAATCGATGGGATGTTCCGTATCTTGCTGTTACAGGATCTGGGTTGTTCTCTGCCCTTGCATTCATTGCCGTGAAGGTCCCAAGTCCAATCATGAATAACTATCTCCTTCATATCGTCACGAGCGGCGGTTTCATTTCCTCGTTGGTCGGGTGCACAATCCACCGTCACTTTCATCGGCGTCTGCGGGCCAACAGAATCGCTCCTCGACACCGCTTTGCTATGCAACCGTTCGGCACTTACATCGGAATGTTCGTCTCTGCGACACTATTGCTGGCCGGCGGTCTGTGGGGAGGACCCAAAGCCAATATCACCGGGACCCGAGCAGCTAGATTAGTCACTTCTTATGCCAATATAGTAGCGTTTGGTCTGCTGTTCTTACTTCATCACTTCCGAGACTTCATTCCTATTGTTGAGGTCGAACGACCGATCGATATGGAGGGACGGAGACATGGCGATCGCGAAGCCCGGGAGGTTCGATCCCACAAGACGCCTTCGAATCGTGGAAAACTTGATGCAATCCCTGAGACTACTGGTGCATTTGAGTTGCGACTTAATCACAACATATTCGCAGAGCTCTGAGTCCATTCCAGAGCGGCCCACGATACGGACCGAACTGTGGGGTATAAATGGACTTGGCATGTCTGCGAGTAAGCATTAGATGTTATTGTTAGAGTTATAATTCATTTTTCAAGTTTGCCTTGGCATGAATACCATTCTCCGGGAAAGTGTAGATGGAAAAAGGCGAATGCGTAGGATCCCTAGTCACTCATATCATGTTTCACAAGGAATCGGGTATCAGACTGAAAGACGGCGTTTGAAAGAACCCAGAGTCATCAGAGACCTAAAAAGGGCTCATACAGTATCTTTCGATAATATACGCTGGGTTGATTTTAGTGCACAACCCTTTATAGTGGCAAATTACGCCAAATCACAAAAGGCTCAGGTTTTTCCCCCTTTCCTGACTCTATAGACTTACTTCCCAGGCCAGATGACCTGCCCCTCACACGCCACGTTCTCATCTCACGGATCTCCCTCTGAAGCAATTCTCATTTTTCTCTACTTCAGATACTCCCTGTACCAATATTGGTTTTCCTGTCCCGTTCCCGCCTCCCTTGCGTTTCGGGTTTCCGCCGTGGGATCCGTGACTAGCCTTTCTGGTTCATTCTCTTGTCCTCCCACAATCCCTTTCAAGTTTGAGAAACAACCGGGCCTCATCTCCCCTTTTTTTACTATTTCTCTCACATTCCCACACCCTTGTACTCTTATCTTTTTTCAAATATGACGCAGTCCTTGATGTGGGATATTGTTCATATGAACCTACTTCCTAAGAGGGCCAAAATTGCCCTCTTTCTTACAGATATAACTGATTTCTAGATGCTAACTGACCCCGTGACATTCCCAGGTTGACGCGCTAATCCCAAAATTGACTAGCATGGCTGGAAACGGTAATACCACGGAACTTGGAATCTCCGGCTGCGATACTTCGAGGGCGAAATGCGAGGATGTTTTCAGGTCAAACCCTCCCTACGGCTTCTAGACCACATTTCTTTCAAGGGCTAGCTGGCTTAACAGCTTACCCCGCCTGAGCATGTCTATACTACTGAGACTTTATCTCCAGCCCTCACCGTGGATACACGCTAAGCCCCTTTCGCTCATGGCGCACTTGGTCTCTGCTGCCGGCCGGACAGTCTTTCTGCCTAAGGCCGCGTAGCCTCCTCCTTCGTCTCTCTCCAGTTCACAGAAACCGCCCATCCTCTTTTTCCTCTCCTTTTCCCTGTTCCCTACCGTCGCGCTCTTCCTCTTTTCCTACCTTAATTGTCTTCATTCTTTTCTCTATCCTCTCCTCCCTCATCTACTACTCTCGTACTCTCATCTTCTCCCCCTCCACGCGATCTCGCTCACCCTTTCCACTCTTCGACGCCTCCACTTCCAAGATCCCACCAGATCCTTACACAATCGCAGGGGCTCGACGTGTCCTTCTCGAATCGCCTCGATCTCCTTCGACGAAAATTACCTTTCGCCAACCTATTTTTCTCACCCGTTTCCTCCAACCCTGGAGTTCACCATCCAGGCGCATTCGAGCAGGGTCTTTCACGATTCCACCAGTAGCCAACATCAACCCAGAGCGTTCATAATCACACATCTGGACTCTGTGGTACCATTTGATTAGCTGGAAGGGAAACATTGTCACCTGCGCACGTTGACTCGTGGACTTCCCCTCGTGGTCGTGTCATCGAACCATTCCATCTACGCGTTCGCTGTCCAACAAGGGCTTGGGAAGATACATGTCCAGGGGAAGACGTGACGGATACGTAGGATAATGACAGGTCGTTTACGCCCCTGTTAACCAATACGTGATTTTGTCTTCACCTGAGAGGGGGTTATCTGTCGGACTATGACAGATACCTCCTCCCTCGCCATCACGCACGCCACAACGGATTCCTATCCGGTCCCCGCTCCTCCAGGCTCCCCTGCCGCCGACGGTGCAGTCTCTGACTCTGCCGCACCCGATGAAGAAGAACCTTACACCATCAAGTGCATTTGCTCGTTCGAGGAAGATGATGGTAGCACGGTATTCTGCGAAGGGTGCGAGACATGGCAGCACATAATCTGTTACTACCCCGACAAGAAGGTACCAGATGTGCACAACTGTGTTGACTGCGAACCACGGCCATTGGACAATCGCCGTGCCACCGAACGACAACGGGTGCGGCGCCAACGGGAGAAAAGTGAGGATGGGGACCGGAAGCCCAGGAGGCCTGGGCCTAAAACTCAACGAAGGAAACTCAAGGATTCGGAAGTGAATGGGTTTGGACATCAACGATCCGAGTCAAGTGCACGTGAACAGCCACCGGCGAAGAAGGCGAAAACGTCCCACCGTACATCCGCTTCAATTGGTGGCCTTTCAGGTATCCCGGCTCTTCCGGCTGAGTCGCGCAAGCGTCGTTCCTCAACCTCCATCGCGATGAGCCCAACGAAATCCGAACTTCCAATCCCTCTCTACTCGAACGAATTCCTCAATCTTTACGACCGAGATGAAGATTACGATGAAATTGACAGCAACCTCTTTGTCAACGTGAGCCTAATGCGGGACACTGTCTCATGGTTGAAGGATCCCGAAGCCTTGGCACGAGTCACCAATGGACGTCCTGCTGAAGATACTTTTCAATGGTCTGATGCAGCATTGGACCGATCTCGCTGGCCCTCCTTGGCAGTTGATACAATCACAGACCCGAGCACCGAGATCAGTGGCAAGCATCCAACGTACAAGATCATTAAGACTCAAGATTCTGTACGACGCGATGAAGTTGTCGGAGAGATCACTGGCAAGGTTGGCTATTTCAGAGATTATTGTCTCGATCCAAGCAACCGGTGGTCCAAGTTACGGCACCCTGAACCTTTTGTCTTCTTCAGCGCACATCTACCTCTCTACATTGACGGCCGTCGTGAAGGCAACAAGCTTCGTTACATCCGGCGTTCCTGTCGTCCCAACGTTAGTTTGAAGATATACATCACCAATGATGTAGAATATCATTTCTGTTTTGTTGCCAAGGATGATATTCCTGCCAACACAGAGATAACTGCTATGTGGTACCTGGACCCTGAATTCCATGAAGCTACCAATGGCGTGGTGAAACAGGAGTCTGGGGATCCGGAAGCTGCTTCGGTCTGCATCAGCAATACGCTTGCCAACTTTGGTACATGCGCTTGTGATCTTCCTGTGGAAGAGTGCACAATGGCCAAACTTGATCGCCGGCGACGTCCAAAATTGGACTCGGTGAAGACCAATGGCAAGCGGAGGAAGGTGAAGAGCAAGGCTATAGCGTCTCCAATGGAGACAGGTCGTGCTTCTACGAGTCGTGCAGGTAGTGAGACAACTAAACACGACGAAGATGACCCCGCAGCCGATAGCCGATCAACTTCAGGCTCAACTCGTGGTCATCCCCGTAGCCGTGATCTCAGTCCTGCTCAACCTCTATCTGAACTTTCTACTCGCGAAAGGCGAAAAATTGCTGATGCGGAAAAGCAATTCCAACAATTAGAGGATCGGCATGTGCATCCCAAGAAGAAGAAACGATCCAGCGGACCTTCTCATTCTACACAACCTGGCTATTTCGCTACTCAGCGTTCTTCTGGTAAATCTCACCTTGATACACAGTCGCGTTCTCCTACTGCTGTTTCACCCGGTACAATGGCTCCTGGCAATTCGAACCCTCAGGGTCTGGCTCAACGTCGCCGTCGTCCTGTCTATGTCGATGCGGCGGTCCAGTGCAACCGCGATGATGACTCTCCTCCTCCTCTTCCTCGCACTACGCCTCTCATTCTCTACATGTCTATGACTCGGCGTCTTCTGATGCGTTACGATGCGGAGAATATCAGACGGGCAGAAGTGGCTAGACAGCAATTGTCTTCGGCTGGTTCTGACAGCGCTGCGACTTACCGGACTTTCGAGTCTCCCGGTCCCTCGCTCCGCTCGCCTGTCACTGCACATGACAGATCGGATGCTGCCATGGCTAGTCTGGACAGTCCTTCTACCCCTGTTCACGCAGGTCGTGAGTCCAGTGCTCGGACTGACTCTCTCGCCACCAGCAACGACCCACGTGTACCGCCAAGTCCCCCTCCGTGGCCGTCTACCGCTGCTCACAACGTTTTGATTCCGGGTGCGCATCACCGCAACAACCTGCGTGTCTCTATGCCCCCACCGCACGGTGTCTATCCACCTTCCACAATCAGTCCTAGCTCCGCTACTAGTCTTGCATCCCCCCTTCCTCATGATCACACATCTCCTCATACTTTCATGCCGCCTTTGGGTCATGCTCCCACTCCCACTCCTGCGAAGAAGAAGCTCAGTCTCGGTGACTACCTCATCCGCCGGGGAACTATGACAACATCGGACAAGCATGCTCCAACAAAGAAATCACCTTCCGCTGGAGATGGCACTGCAGACCGTCCTCTCACCCCCACTCAACCCGAACTGCATGACAAGTCTGAGCCTACTTCTTCTCCAAACATGTCGATGAAAGACGCCCCCGAATCAACACCCACCCACATCCCTTCCATCTCTTCGTGATCTGATCCGCGCGGTAGTAATGGTGGGCCTGTGCTAAAAGGAAAAAAAGAATCTTCACGGATTTTTTAACGTTTCTTACGACCCAAAATTTCTTTTCTCGTGTGACTTCATTATTTCGACACTACAGCAACAAGAGCAAGGGAGCACTCAGGCGTTTCATCAGGCCCGCGTGCTTTCTTTCTTTTTACTCTCTGTGCCGGCTTTCTTTCATGTTTCCTCTTCTTTGCTTGTTTTACTCTACCAAACGGATATCTCGATATCTATGTGTTTTGGTCTTGGCTATCTCCATTGCCATTGCTATGGCATGGCTATGGTGACGGTTATGGACATCAGCCAATGGCTTGGCTTTCTCGTTCCGAATGGCGTATGGCGCGGTTTGAATGGCTGGGACTGGGTTTGGTCCTCTTTTTTTTGGTTATGGGAAATACCATCGGGTTGGGTCAGGATCTTTGTGATGGTGTACGTGTACCAATGGTGTTCTCTTGTTTTCTTCTGTTCCTTCTTTCTATGGTCTATGGCCTATGGTCATGTCTGCCTTGGATCTTTTGGCCATCCTTGTGAGATTACTGGATCTCTTCTCTCTTTTCTTTCGGTTGCATCGAATGATGTGACTCGATAGCTTGTATGAACACTGCTTGATCATATGTACAACCTTTTTCTTCTTTACGTAATGTCTTGATGTTTTGGGTGTTTATTTTGAAGGGCCTATCTGTACTTTGTCGTTCGTCGACGTGGTGTCGTCTTCCTCCCGCACTGTCTACTACATAATAGTGTACGCTCTATTTGCTCGTCTTACAGCAGAGGCTAGGAGTCTATTCATGCCTCGCCCTTGTATAATCCAGATATTCAACCCAAAGTGTTCAAAAATATGCTTAAAAGAAGCGGTCTAGTAAAAGAGCAAACAATTCATTGAATAGGATACTCGCTCCGCAACTTTCGTGTGAAATTGTCTGGAACTTAAAAGATTCTTGTTATACTCCTTCGTACTATCTACCACAGCATAGTTTTACACTCTACTAACCGAACAATCACCATCTTTGCTCAAGTTGTCTTTTTCACACTTGATATTTCTCGGGTTTTCCCCCTCCAATGCTGGTTATATAAAGACCCAATTTCCACGTCCTCTTTCTCCTGCTTCACCTTCTCTCCTCCTATCTGCAATATAGAAATTACTCACTCAGTCAACGAATGGAGATCCTTCGGCGCTTGATATATCCTCGGCACCGCATAGCCTGTTTGATGCTTTGAATACTCAAAATGCGAACATGGAACACCTGGTGTAGACGAGTGGGGATGTCTATTTCTTTCCCTGCGTTCCCTTCGTGCATCTATGGCAACACGGCCTTTGCATATGATGGACCGCAAACAGTACGTGATATCATTATGCCCTGTCCTCCCTGGCCTTGATCATCGCCCTGAGTATAGAAAATGCGCAAGTGGAATCTTGTGTCTGGTGGTATGACCACTGTGAACATGGTGCATTTTAGATGTAGATGTTGAGATATGAGATGGCCGAAGTGCAGACCGCGGCCATACCGATCTCTGTTGATCCTTTTGAAGTCCCCGAGACTCCCTCCAAGCAACGAGGTTTCAACTCGTTCTTAGATGTGTTTGAGCAACTACAATGACAAGAGGGGGTTACACCAAGGCATAGGATTTATAATATGCCCATATTGTTGATTGTTATCTTATTCAATGGTAAACTCATTTCCAATAATCCCAAGCGAGCATCGAGGAATTAAATGTTTATATGACATGCTTGGCGAAGCTATAGTTTACATCGTTGAGGTTAATACGCTTTAGGTGATGGAACGTGGATTGATAGATCAAGAAGTGCCAATTATCTTCATAACCGGAGCGGTAGTTCAGTGGTTTAGAACGTTCGATTGCAAATCGAAAGGTCGGGAGTTCGAGTCTCCCCCGCACCTTATCTTTTTGTATTTCTTTTTTTTTGGTCCTTTTTTTCATTCTAAATCTGTTGTTCAATTGATGTTGCTTGCTTATCAATTGTTTTTGGACAAATTGAGTATTTTCAGGCACGCCCATATTGGTTAGACTTCCTCTATAAACCTTATCTAGTTTGTCTGCGGGCGCGCGTCAAACCACACAGGCATGGGGAGAAATATATATTGTGAACCATTAGAGAATTAATAGAGAACCATAATAGTAAATGATCTTTCTCACAATTTCACCAGTCAAATATTGCCACACGCACTCATAACTTACATACCACCTACATAGGAAGAACTACTGCTAGCAAATCCCAATGGACAGGTATGATGCCCTGGCCATCGTTCTGCAACGTAAAATCGAGCAGTAATGTTGTATTGTATGCTCATACATTCTAAAAACCCTGATTTACTATAGTTTACTATGGTGGTTCCGTTGCCTTGCCTCCGGCAAGTATAGAAGCAAGATTCAGAGAACGGCGAGGCGACTCAAACCATCTCGACTTTCAGAACTGTGTCACTCAGGATATCGTTATGACCTCTTCCTTGATAGGTCCTCCAAGTCAATCGCCTTTGGTTTAGTCTCCGCCTCGGTGGAGGTTGGTAGGATGGTGGGGTATAAACCCATCTTAGGTATGTAAGTATGCTTTTCTTCAAACCTCAAAAAAGGACTACAAGTTTCGCAGCTGGTTTTCAAATGTAGTTTATCAATCATCATAGCCTCGATCTATATAAAGGAAGATCTCTGGTTCTACTAAACCACCATACTGAATCTCCATCAACTCAAACCATCATTCCAGAACAGACAAAATGGCGCCGCAGCTCGCATGGACTGGTCTCGGAAACATGGCCGAGTAAGTCCGACGATCCTAAAGTTACAGTACACAAAGCTAAATGCCACCTAGGGAATGGTCAAGGATCTCGGTACAAACCAGTGATGATCTACAACCGCAACATCGCCCGCGCCAACGACTTCCACCTCAAGAACCCCAACACAGTGGTAGCGACCACCTGCAAGAATCAATCACCAAGGCGGATAAAAAATCCACCTGTGTCAGCGACGACAAAGCAACCCAGAAAATCACCTCAACCATCACCGCAGCAGGAGATATAAAAGACAAACTTTTTATCGACTGCTCAACCAACCAGCCAGAGACAACAAAACAACCATAGCCTCAACCCTGACAACCCATGGCGCAATTTTCGTCATCAGCCCCGTCCTCGGTGCGCCAACAATGGCCGAAGCAGGACAGGTAATCTGCGTCCTAGCCGGACCCGCAGACATAGTCGTCAAAGTGAAACCTTACACGACAGACGTGATCGCCACGGGAACCATCGACTACAGCAACCAAGAACTGGCCAAGGCATCCCAGCTCAAGATTGTGGGTAACGCATTCGTTATCAGCATGGTAGAGACGATCGCAGAGGGTATGGTTGTCGTGGAGAAGACGGGTCTGGGGCGACTATGCGTGGTGTGGAGTTGGCCTGTGGGTATATATATGTTTTTGGCTAAGGAGCACATGGGGGCTAGGGGTTATTTGGCGGGGACTTATGGTGACGTTCGTGAGGAAAGGGGCTTGAGGGCCGAGAATGATATTTAGGATTCCGTATATGAGTGAGAGTTCGTGGGAATTTTGGTGGTTTCGTAATGCGGTAAGAAGTGCGAGGTTTGTCCTCTTATTCTTAATGGTACTCGAGGAGAAGGCATAAATATTGCCTTGGAGGGGGAATTTATGTGTGGCGTCAACTATATGAGATCTATAACGCCTCCGCGGTGAGTGGCCTATCTAGTGAAGTAAGGAATACATATTTCTAGAATTATCTGGTAAGAGAAGACAACTGAATTTGTATCCTCCTCGATAAAGACCAAGCAAGAAAAACCCATCCTTCCAAATATCTGCAGATCGACGGCACGAAGTCCGACATCTGACATGGAGGGTATACTGTGAGTCAAGGATCAAGAAGGGCAATCCCGCATGCGACTGATTCAACCGCCGTTTAATTTTCTTTTTCCTTTTATAGTTCTGCTCTCAACATACTAGTAGCTCAAAATGAGTTCCAACAGAGATCTTGTGCTTGACGAAATCCATTCTCGCAGATCTACAGATGAGGTCACCGAGATCGAGCAGCCCGCCCTTCCCCCGACAGATGGATCAAGGGCTGCATGGCTGATGCTGGCTTCGTGTTGTTTAATTCAGTTGCCAGTCTGGGGTCTGTGATGAGACACAAAAGACATACATTCTATTAACCTTCACTCTAGGCTTCTCCACTGTGTTTGGTATTTTCCAAGAATACTATACAACGCATGACGTCCTCCAAGGAAGCAAAGGCGACCTAGCGACCGTTGGAACATCTTCTACAGTATGCAAAAAGAATCGACATAGAAGAATCCGTCTAATGCTTTTCTTTAGGGCATTCTTTACCTCCTTTCGCCTGTCACCTTCACGCTTCTGACGCGATACCCCCGTCTGCAATACTACAGCGCGCCTACAGGCCTGGTCATTACAGTCATAGGCTCTTTGCTTTCCTCATTCTCTGTGCAAGTATGGCATCTTATTGCCACCCAGGGTGTCATGTGTGCTATTGGGAATGCATTATTGTTTAGTCCGTCATCCTTGTACCTTGATCAGTGGTTTTTCCGTCGAAAGGGTCTTGCACTTGGAACCATGTGGGCTGCCAAAAGTGTCACTGGTGTTGCTCTGCCCTTTGTTGCCAGTGCTTGCCTGAGTAAGTTTGGGTCAAGTATCACGCTGAAAGCCTGGACTGTCGTCACGGTATGGATCTTTTTACTGTCTTTTGAGGATTTTGTCTGTATGACATAGAGACTTTGATAACGCTGACTTTTGGAGTTTTAGTTCATCACTACCCTCATGGCTTTGCATTTTATGAAACCTCGAGTCCCAATCTCAGCATCTGCTTCAGCACGTCGCCTGGATTTGAGTTTCCTCAAGCGATCCACCTTCTGGATGCTGGAAGCTGGCAATATCATCCAAAGCTTTGGTTACTTCCTGCCAACAACATTCCTTCCTTCATACTCAACAGGAACGATTGGGCTATCCCAGACAACTGGTACGCTGTTGCTCTCGCTCGTCAATGTTACCTCCATATTTGGTGGTATCGCCCTCGGAATTCTATGTGATCGCTTCTCTGTCACAAACATCATGTTTTTATCCTCACTTGGCTCGGCATTGTCGGTACTTCTGTTCTGGGGCCTGGCGTCGTCGGGCTCAGAATCGTCACAGACAGCCATTGCCCTCCTGATTGTATTCTCCATGACATATGGGTTCTTCGCCGGTGGCTTTAGCTCCACCTGGTCAGGCGTCATCACTCAAATCAAACGTGATACATCGCCATCACTTGAGACCGGTTTAGTGTTTGGTCTTCTGGCTGGTGGCCGAGGCATTGGAAATGTGATTAGTGGGCCACTGAGTACGGTGCTAATTCGCTCCGGATCTTTGGGCGACTCCAATGGCTCAACTGGTTATGATTCCCAATATGGAACTTTGATCCTATTCACGGGGATAACAGCCTTTTTGGGGGCATGGAGCTGGATGTGGCGGTATATCAGTCCTGCAGTGCGGTGCCTTACCTGAAATGAGGTAGCAAAGTTGGAGAGCGAAATAGCGAGCCTAAATTGAAATCAAACGAGCAGTGCAATAATTAGGAATGGCAAATTGAAGACAAAGAGACTACGAACATTTGATGCCAAGTCGAGGTCACGTGTAGGCAGATCTGCGGAGCTTCTACTCCAAGCATTCTTCCATCTCTTTAACTTCCCCGAAAACTTCAATCCCGTCGCTGCGCATCAGGGCCACTGCCCTATCTATCACAATGGCTACGTCCGACGCGGCAACTCACGACCCTCTCCTTTCCCTCCGCCGCGCAATTGCGGCCGGCAGCCTCCCAACACCGACGACCTCCCCCGAGCTTTCTGATGCAACGGCCACCGAGGACCTCGCCAAAGCCTCATATCTTTACTTCACACAGCCGACCCCTCAAACAATTCCATTGGCGACCCCGACGCGATTTATTTCCGCGAACTCAGGCTCCCCGGTTGACCTGCGCAGTATCCTGTTCGCTTGGCAGAACAAAGATGTCGCTATCCCCGAGTACTTTGCCTCGGCCAATCAGTTCAATGAGACATTGAAACAGAAGGGCCCACAAGAAGATGACAAGGAAGAAAGCGTACAGATTCTTGTCTTCGTCGAACGTCTCGATCTCATCACTTGGCTGGAAGGCGCTTCCGATGAAAGTGAACATATCAAGCCTCTTGAGGGTGCTGCTGCCGCTGCGGAAGCAGCCGCTAAAGCAGCCGGTGCTGCACAGGCCGAGGCCGCCGCCGGAATCGCGGCTGGCACGGCTGGCGGTGCCTCGACCGCGCCTGGTACCGCAGGAGCAGCACCAGCTGGAGCTCAAGCTGGCCGCCCACAGAAGCTCATTGGGCCTCGGCTGCAGGAGATTTACAATGGAGAGCGCAAGACAGGTGACCGGAACACAGTGCTACGCGGAATTAAGCCAACAGTGAGTTGCGAGAAGCGACCAGACTTGCCAGAGCTAACACTCCCTCCCACCAGGACTTCTCCCATGTTCGTAAGAGCGCTGAAGTATTCCTCAGCCGCAACCGCTCCGGTCACCCAGCCAAAACCGGCAGCAAGCCCCAGGTTCCCGCGCCCTCAGCAGGACTCCCGATCTCATCGCGCAAGTCCACATCACACTCGCGCCCAGATCCTATTATCCTGATCTCGCCTTCCGCCTCCTCCCTCATCCGCATGTCGAACGTCAAGTCCTTTTTGGAGGATGGTGTCTTTGTGCCACCCGACCACCCAACTCTTTCCAGCGCAACCAACGCGAATCTGGTGAAGCTGGAACGCCCTCTCCGCGGAGACCCCTCCAACCCGAACTCCGGCGCAATTGGCTCCCGGGGCGGCTCCAAGCCCACCAGACCGACAAAGTTCATTATCGTCGACGGCACCACCAATTTCAAGCCCGAGTACTGGGACCGCCTTGTGGCCGTCTTCACTACCGGCCAGACTTGGCAGTTCAAGTCTTACAAGTGGTCGTCCCCACCCGAGCTGTTCAAGCACGCCACTGGTGTTTATGTAGGATGGCGAGGCGAGGATGTCCCTAGCCAAGTTAAGGGCTGGGGCCGCGGCGTGCAAAATTTCGCTGTTGAGCGCTGGGATGAGAAGAATGGTCCGCAGGGTGGTGGTCGCTGGCGTGATCGTGAGATCGTCGAGGGTATCTGGACTGCTATTGAGGAGGGCATGAGACTTCGTGGTTGGTCCAAATAGACTTGCTGAAGTACTTGATACCTTCTTTCTACTTTTCTGTTACTTTCCCCCGTGGCATCATGTTCTCTCCCTCATATACCCTCTCCCGCTCGATCAACGGCCTATTCAATCAATCAATCTGGCACCCTTCCTCTCCCAATCTCCTCAGCTTCCATCTCATATTCCACCGCTCCCCTCAAAATTGAACATTGATGACCAACGACATTCACGGCGTGGTTCTGGGCGTTGTACCTGGTGATTTATCTGATCTTTACTCGAGCCGTATGTATCTATGACGGTCTCTCTGCTTTGCCGAAGGACCTAGAACAAAATACAATTAAGATTTACTATAGCTTGATTCCACAAAGAAGCTAGTAGATAACCTTATATGCAAGACCTAGACTGGAACCACTGCCTCTTATCTTTATGTACTTTGGTTTTGTTTTGTACACATTGCGAGTTGAATGCACGCACTGCTGGGTATATCAATCGAAATCCCGGCTACGTGGGTTACATAGAAGGAGGCTCACCATGATATCATGTTTTCAATGGAGTGCTAGTAAGTATCTACGAGATTTGAGCCAGATCCATTCAGATAGTTTCTGGTATCATTCCCTCGCACTAAACAAAGGATCCTGTAAACCAAACCCAGCCATCCAGACAACATAACCTGAACCAAACAACCTACCATACCTCAAACTACAAAGTCCCCCAATCTACAACCCTCTAAATTCTCAAACAATCAGTGTTCTATATAAAATCCCACTCTCGCCCCGATCAATATCACCCGATCCCAAATATCCCCCGAATCAACCACTAACGTCCGGCATTGGATATATCACAAATCCCCAGCCGGCAACTATCTTATCCCATCCAATCCATTTCTATCTCCCGATTCTCAATTCCACAACGGGAAACCCCCTGTATCCCACGGTAAGACCGTAAGTATATACACCGAAATGCAAATAAATAAATAAACCACGAATCGCGTAACATCAGCGTACAGTACCCTAACGCCATACTAAGCCCCAACTTTGCCGATCACCCCTCTAGTCCCGTTTCTGCTTGACCGCATCGCAGCAACTATAGATCTGTCACTTCTTTTACCCTTGCCTTCCGCGTTGTGGGTGGTGGATGCATGCTCCCGTGCGTGGAGGTGGATGGATGGCGTGGAGGGCCACTCCATGCATACTGAATACTGGGAGATTTGTCATATTGAAGGAACAGACTACGAGCACCTTGGGCCCCAGCGTGCTTGCTTTTACACCATTGCTACAGTAAGCAGTAGCTAGGATTGTTGCGGATTAGGTTTGTGGAGATTCTAGTGCTGCGATACATCCATAGATTCCTTTCCCTAGCACCTAGCTTGTATGCATCCCATCTACATCCGCCAAGACACTACTGTGCTGTAGGGTGAGTTTTCAATTTAACTGCGGAGTAGGTACAACATATACGGTAGACTCGGAGAGGTGAGGATCAAGCTGCTGTGCTCTGTGTAAAAGTGCTTAATCCAAATCGTACAGCGAGTGGCAAAACAGGTAGAGAATTTCGAGTTTCAATCTCGCTACCTTGGCTTGGGCTGGGTGATCTACAATACAATACATTACATGCTTCGTAGCTTACCATGGGTTCAATGATGGAGGTATATCCATGTAAGTTAGCAGATAGCAGGTAACCTAGCGAGGTGGGAGTAGCAAGTAGCGATAGTGGCAAGCCAATCTCCCACATACCATATCTTATTAATAATACACGCAGAGATGGTCTTTTCTTGAGGAGTCGTTAGGTCTGTCGATCACTTGCTAGGGAGGAAAGAATGATTGGTCCATCAAACACGCGGCATATATCGAGCTACAGTACATGTGGGCGCATGTGGCTCGCCATGTGTGAAAAGTGACATGTCAAATTCTCCTACTTTTGCCCGGAAATAGTATAGTTTGCATCTTGGGCCCAGGTTGTATGGCAAGTTGTGCGTTTGAGCATATTACTCTGCACGCAGAGCGAGGATGCCGGGGTACCATGCGGAAGCTGCAGGATCTTGATGTAGGGCAAATTATGTGGCTAGGCTTTATTCTTGCTTGTTTTTTTTATTCTTTCATTTTTTTTCCCTTCTCCCTTTTTGTTTTTTTTTTGTTTTGGTATGGACCTTGCATAGTCAAGGTAGGGGGTGGTATCTATATGACGCCAACAGGATATATTAATCTCACTATAACCACATCCCCCCCCCCCCCCCCCCCACCAAACCCAACCTCGATTCGAGGTCGAGGTCAAGGTCGGAGATCAGGAAAACTGCCGAAGCCAAGCCAGACCTATTACCACAAGTACATAGCAGTGCAATCGCAGACTCCACAATCCTGCAACACTCGCATGGCCTCACCATGCAATCCAAATGCAACGTGCACGCACCCACTCCCCCGACCTTCCCCAATCAGTCCTAGTCCAAAGTCCAAACATTATGAATCTACCCAGTCCATGCATTTGTGCAGGCCGCAGATCGACCCTTCGCTTCGTCCACATGTACATGTCATGGACATACAGTATAAGAGTATGGAGTATGAAGTACAGAAATAGCAAGCTACTACAGAGAGTACCACTAGGCTCACCCAACCCACCTAGACCGGATGCATACATAGACATATTTGCTAGGTGCTGTATGCCCATGTGCAAAGCAAAATTTCCGATCGAGTGCATCTAACCCTGGATCCATGTAACAGGGCCGGCCTATTGCATTTCCCACGGCGAGTTCTCAGTCCAGGCCTTGAGACAGGGCCTGCATTTCTTTTCGACCGAGAGCACCAAGGGTCGAGACATGCCTTGTTTCAGGGGGTTAAATCCAGACCCGGCTGGCACGGTGAGATAATAGAATATCAGACAGGTTGGGCTGTCCAGGGAGTTAGAGAAAGCTCTGTGCAACGGTCTCGGTGTACAAGAGTAGCGATGATCCTTCGGCGGGATTTGGTCGGGCCGTTGCGTTATGGGGCCTCTATACATTGGCTTCCCCTCTATTCTGTACGGGGTACTCTCGAGAAATGAAATGACGATATATGAAGATCATACAGACCCAGGGCTTCAATGTGACATCATATTTACTGTACATCGGGGTCATTCCGCAGTGTTGTAGCACGGGGAAGGAAAGACGGCTTCGAGCTCTGCCGAAACGTGTATAGTCGACCCCGCTCTCGCATGCAGGCCATGCAGATGCATTGAATCGGCCGTCAAGATCGCTTCTTTGGGCTTGACTTGCCCCGCCAAGCCAAGCTTACGGCCAGACCGAACAAGTGGAGAGTGACATGGGTGTATGCCTTGAAATGCTATTTATTGGCTTCTGCTCTCGGCTCGATGTTTTTCTTCAGGTCTAGCCAGTTACGGTTGAAACCGAGGGCTGTGAGATACAGTATGCTGCACATGGTTGATTAGAGACCGTGGTGTTGCGACGATCATAGTATCAATCGGACAACTTCCGTCTTCCCCGCTGTCATGCAGTAGTATCGAGACGATGAAACATGACCGGTGTGTTAGTACAGAAATAGCCGATCGGTTTGATGACTGAGTCAACATGGTCATTTGGGGTCCAAAAACCACAAAGGATGATGCACGAGTCATATTAGTAGTGATGCACAGTGAATAATGACTCGAGGGTAGGTACAGGATAGAGATGCCAGAGCAACCCCTCCCCGACATCGGTGGAGCCTTGGCAGGAAGAGCGAGATTCTCGGGCTCGTTGCGAGATGCACATGGTGATTCGCAGGCTCAACTGTCATACCTGTCCGGGCATAGTCCTTTTTTCTCCGAAAAGGGAGTAGTGATGACCGTTGGATTTAAGATACAGACGGTTAGTCTGTAGAAACCTCCGAGATCGCTGACATCCCACATCCCACATCCCACATCCACAAGCCACATGTCACCTAGGCATTTAGGCACTCAAGCACCTAGGTCATGTCTTAATAATAACCGAGACACTCGTAGTCAAGACAGACCAGAACTATGAAGGTTGACCGCTCTTTCTGGAAGCCAAAGATCCACCGTCCAAATTGCAACGTGCGGAGTTGATGGAGTTGTCCACAGTATTCGGGTACCAGCCGAAAATCATTATTGAGAAAACTCGCTGATCTTCCACGTGGACTTTTCTTTGTCCCGACTCTCCCGTGTCTGACGATGTGGAGATGAGGTTCCGGTGTGTGTTTCACACGCGACCGCTGATATCATATAACCCGTGAGATCATAGCCACTAAAACAATGACAAGGCTGATATGATATCGTCAAGATTGCTACATTGAGAACGTACCCAAAAATGAACTAATGAATCTGATAACCACGGTCAACTCATCCCATATAGTTCCGTGCCAAGCCTTTATATTCGGCCGAATGAATGGGTCCTCAAATTTGGATCAGGAACATAAAAATCTTCCATTCTGCTAGTGTAATCCATTGCTGGAAACAAGATCCATTATTTCTCGCGAATACCCCCTTAATCAGGAGGATTGACCTGTTTCATCGGGTGGATCAAACTGATCCGGAGACCGACCTTCTTAGCGTCTTCCAGAAGGTTTCTAGAAGGCTTCTAGTGTTCTAGCGTGGAATAGGGGGATAGTTTGCCACGCCGGACTTCGCCGTCCCCAAGGCCAGCCGTGGCCAGTTCGGTCGGGACTCACGAACTAGCCACAAAGTGTATAGCTTCGTTTCATTCTATACAGACGATTGAAGAAGTCTATGACGTGACTCAGCCGCTTTCAGCAAGTGGATCGCGTTTGGGGTCCATGGATTCACATGTAAGATACAGTATACTTTACATACACTTGAATACAGGGGGTGCTGACATAACCACATTATTTGCAAAAAGCAAACATCCGATCACCCTAGAGCAATCATACTAACGGACATACATGGTCTACATGCAAGCCTCATCGTAACCGGGATGTCCGAAACCCGCAATCTGACAGCTCTTTCTATCTCACACACTTACACCCGAGGATGAGCCTTGACGCCAGTTTCATGATATCGGCGGCTACGGCGATAGACAATCT